GACTAGTTAAAATTCAGCTGGGGCGTACATAAGCTTTTTGGACAAGCTGCATGCATAAGCTTTTTCGACAAGCTGCATTCACCTGTCACAGGCGAGCGCTTTGGGATAGAAAACACCAAATAGGCAAGTGAAATTCGCTTATTTTGGTCTCCTTTTCAGGGGGGTTCTTTTACGGCGTATCCAATTCTGGAATATCCTAGCCTATTCAGGGGATGCAAGGCTGGCCTCTTTAATTGTCTTGGAACAACCTAAACATGCATTCTCTGTTCAGAAAGTAACCATCAAGGCTATTATTAAATACACCTTTTGATGTATCCTCGCCTTAAACCTGTTTCGGACACACGTTAGAAAGGGATGTATCGGGATGTATCGGGAAGTAATCGCAAAATCGTACCCAGACTAACCCTCTCTCTCTCTCTGTCATCAATGCCTACTTCAGACGGCATAGGCCAATTCCTCATATAACCAACCGTTTTTGCCTGTTGGACTATATATCTATTTACACGGTCATCTTATGCCAATTAAACATACCCTTTTCTTCCCAATTCTCACAAATCACACCTTCGAAATGAGCATAGCCATAAATATTTCCAAGTAGTTGGCTCAGTTTCCATAAGGCGCAGGACGCATTGTTCTTTGTCCCCTCTCGTCTCAGGTTTGTTTAGACGGTATGGGACAATTACCCACCTGCGTCTCGTTTACGCAGGTGCGTAACTTTAACTTGTGCGCCTCGAATAGCCCTGGATCAAATGTCCGAGGTGAGTGCCTGCATATAAACTTATCATCCGACTTACCATTTGGTTGTGTGTATCTCAACCATTATCACTTACACCTCCATTATAACTTTGCCACACAATTTTCCCCGATCCAATAAATCCACTTCAGTTTATCCACGATTGCTTAAGCATTCATCCATTTTGTAGGACTTCTAGCCCGGGCTGAACCGTTGAGGTAAGCACCTGTGTGTAGCCCTATCACTTACCATGCAGCCATACTAAGATAGCTGTACTAGATGCATATGCCCGCCAGAAGCTCACTACTCTTTCCATCGTATACCACACATGTGCAATCTTCCATATACTTATCCCGTTCGGGAAAAACGCATCCTTTGGCCCGGTTGGCACAAAATTACAGTCAATATTAGACGTCTCCTCGTACACCACGAGCATTCTAATTCATCGATTAGCTTATCTCTATTAGCTAGACTATGTACTCATTTCGCTGTTCCACCCACTCACAAATCCGTCCCCCATGGAAAAATATCCCCTCATTCAAGAGCCATGTGTGCCTTGTTTATTGAGGCCCTTATCCCCTCTTTGTTTCGTGCTATGTAGCTCTAATGCACCAATATCCATCCTACGCTCATGTACCCCTACGCCTCGGTCATCTAAAGGCGGCTACGCCCACTATGCCTTACCTGATTCCATGTTCACTATTCTTCCCCGCCTTGTCTCTCGCACAGGCATCTGAGCTATACCTATAGAGCTGGTATCACTTCCTCTCCCGAGTGCACGTGATGCCTGATGCGCCTGGCATATTTGGCACGTGTTCATAAACAAGCCCAAGCTGGACTGCCACATGCACGCCAGGTACTCAATTGGCATACTCATACTGAGCTGTATAGGATATTCTACAAACACTGGGTCACTTCATTCGATCTATTGGCGACTGCTACGAAGCTGCGTATGCTAAGTAGTGACAGCTATCGACTGCTGCTCTATGGCCCTTGGTGTGGTACCTCTTGCGCGTGGTTGTATACCAGACGTGTCTCGTATCTACTTCACTTTAGTCATGTAGCGTGTCTTGTTCATTGGTGAGTGGACTCACACCACCTCTGTTTAACATATCTAATTGAACCTCCAAGAACGTATTGTGGCCCCTGGATTTGTACCTTTCGTATACAGTTATTTCTCTTGGAGATATCTGTGATACCCTCGGTATCTTGCATTATTCTCAATCACTTAGAATTTATGGTATATCTAGTGGGTGATAGTGAGTACTGATAAATAGCTAAAAGAAAATACCCCTCATCTGTAAGATATACGCAAGAGAAAGATAGTCAGTGGCTTTATATACTGAGGCGGATACGATGCCAGGGTGCTCACTTATCGGGGTTAAGAGGATAATTAAGGCCACTTCCGTCCAGTTAAATGGCACCTTTAATACAGAATTTCTATTTAGCCTCATGTTGCAATGAATCTGCCCTTTCCGGATGTAAAATCGAAATCGGTCTCTCCAATAGGTTTCACGCTGTTGTGTACATCTATCGGTTAACCATGTTCAGGTGGTGCGAATATTAGACATATTTCCTCAGCCTGGGTTTGTTGAAGCTGCACACCAATCTTGCAAACATAGCCAAAGGTCAATACCAACCAAGATATTATAGGTAGAGATTGGCCCATGTAACTTACATATTAGCTTCTGTGAAGTTTACGGAGCCTATAGTATATCTCTATCTGATGGGTAGGATATCTCTTTTAACAGTAGTATACTGGTTTACAATATAATGAATACAGAATAAAGGAGGAAGTGATAGACCCCATTACATAGGGTATCGATTCCTACCACGTAGAAAGGTGCGACGTAAAGTTTAAAGGATATTAGGAGAGAAAACAAGTGCTGTCATCAACAAACGTTTACCCAGGTGGTATCAGTGACCCACACGGTCTTGATAGACGAAGCACCTTGTGACGAAGAATTATCAGTAATGGATGGGACTGGTGTAAACGAAGGTGTGACGGAAGAACTTTCTGAAACAGGAGACGATGTCAAGGAAGAACTTGGAGCAACAGATGCTGGATCGGAAGAGCTTGAAGTAGATGCCGGGTTAGAAGAGCTTGAAGTAGTAGATACTGGATCGGAAGAGCTTGAGGCAGCAGATGCTGGATCAGAAGAACTTGCAACAGCCGCTGGATCAGATGAACTTGAAGCGGTAGATTCCGGATCGGAAGAGCTTGAAACAGTGGATTCTGGATCAGAAGAACTCACAACAACAGATGCTGAATCGGATGAGCTTGAAGCGGCGGATATTGGGTCAGAAGAACTCGCAACAACAGATGCTGGATCGGAAGAACTCGAAGCAGTGGATTCTGGGTCAGAAGAACTCGAAACAGATGCTGGATCGGAAGAGCTCGAAGCAGTGGATTCTGGATCGGAAGAACTCGCAACAACAGACGCTGGATCGGAAGAACTCGAAGCAGTTGATTCCGGATCGGAAGAGCTTGAAACGGCGGATATTGGGTCAGAAGAACTCACAACAACAGATGCTGGATCGGAAGAACTCGAAGCAGTAGATTCTGGATCGGAAGAGCTCACAACAATAGATGCAGGATCAGATGAGCTTGAAGCAGTGGATACTGGGTCAGAAGAACTTGTAACAACAGATGCAGGATCGGATGAGCTTGAAGCAGCGGATTCTGGGTCAGAAGAACTCGCAACAACAGACGCTGGATCGGAAGAGCTTGAGGCAGCAGACACTGGATCAGAAGAGCTCGTGACTACAGACGCTGTATCAGAATAATTTGAAGAAATAGATACCGAAGCAGAGGAATTTGAAGTGTCGGAGGAGCTTGGAGAAATGGAAGAACTTGGATCATCTGAGGAACTTGGGCACGCGGTGGTGGCGGTGATCAAAGAATTGACGGGAGAGATAACCAACGAAGGCAGAGTGATGGTTTGTATCCCGGTAGAAGTGTATGTGCTAGTGAATGTGGTGTAATCCTTACCTCCTAAAAGTCCGGTTTTTGTTGCTGACCTCCAGGTAGTCGTTACAGTCAGGGTGTATGTGCTGCTACTGACTAATTGAGTGGTGTAGCTATACCCTGATTGAAGAACCTGTTGATACACAGTACAACCATCAGACTGAGTGGCAGTGAGGGTTACGATTGTGAGCACAGGCGGTGGAGAATCAATCGAACAATCACCCCAGGTGATACAGTTGCTCAACGCTGGGTATCCCAAGGCAACACACCCTGGTTTACCGATGGAATTGATGGTACACGATAGGCCATTAATAGGATTCAACCAGAACAAAGAGGATCCCATAATAACAGTTCTATCGAAATCCCCACCCGAAAATTTCAGGTTATAACCAATCAAGGTATTGAAACAATTGAGCCCATTAAGAAGATCCACACCGAGCGCAATTGGGTAGGTGACGGTACTGTTGTAGGAAAAGATAAACGCACCCTGTTGAGGGTTTACAATCACATCAACGGTGGTAAGCAAACCTGTAGCACCGGTCAAGAAACTGACGTCAAAGTCGGTGGCTTCTAATGGAACAGCATATGTGAAGTACCACTGCACAAGGTACTTGTAACTTCTCACCCCGGTTCCTAGAATGGCAATGTCATTTGTCGAATCTGCGATAAATTGGACTCTGGCATACCAGGCATCTGTACCCCGACCGCCAGCAGTTTCATAGGTGTTACAAACGTCAGAATTCGAGGGCTCGGCAATACTTGTCGTAACAGTAGTGTAGTTAATAGCAGCTTGTGCTGTTTGGAGTAAGAAAGGAAGGAAGAACAACACTGAGAATCTCATGATAGTTTTGGTGATATTTGAACCAAGCACCTAAACAAACGGGGATCATCTTTCATCTTATATAGAGACCAAATTAAATACTTTGGAAAGCGATTTTGAGGTCTCCATTTTTTTTTTTCATTTCAGACTGAACAGACATGCAAACTGACGTCAGGGGATTCGTTCAAAGTTTGCAGAGAAAGTAAGGGTCTTAGGCTACAGTTTTTAATAGACAACTAATGAACCGGGGAGGCAATTAATCCCTGCTAGACGGAAAGCCATCCCGTAGTGGTCCGCAGGAATAAGATTAGGCATTTGAAAGCTATTGATGTTGCAAATACACCTTCGGTTTAGATTTAAAAGTGCCGATTCAGATGTAAACAGTGCCGACTTTCTCGAGCTATCGAGGGATATGAAACGACTGCTTGTATAACTCTTTATCTTTAATACAGTAGGAAAATATTTGCCAAGATATGTAATGCTCGCCAAAATTTAGGTTTGACAGGGATTGTCAGCCTAATGTCGGCGCCAAGAAATAGTATAGCCGATTTGCGCAGGTGCAGCGGTTCTGCGTCATTTAGTGCGTGCCTATCTTAGGCGAAAAAAATAAGCGATCCTTCTGCTAGATGGCACTTCTAGATCTGACAGTTGGTGGTTTGGAAGTACTACATGAAAGGCTACCTTGGGCATCTGTCTTCAAAATAAAGATAGTGAAAAGAAAATTCAAATTGACAGCTATTGTTTCGTGCGACTCGTAGGGCTAGATAATGCAAGAGACGAAGATTGGCGTTGTAAGCCAATAGATTGGCGGTACGGACCTTCTACAAGGCGGATAGAACAATTAGTCCAACATTTCGAGTTTCAGAGGCCCAGAAAGCAAGTACCTATACAAGAAACAGCTTTAGATAGTGGAAGTACTCCTCGCCAAATTGCAACACGGGGGTTTGCTAGCCTAAGCATCCACACACCAGCTGGTTTCTGGAATTTTTGATATTCTCCAACATGCCTGAGAGCCTCACCAAGTGAGCCCGAAACAATAACTTTGGAAACCAGTATTTTTGGAGTTTCAATAGAAAATTTTTCATTGCCAAGAGCATGCGTACCCATTAAGTAATAGCGCAACCAAATATCATACAATAGCCTCCCGCAAAGCACTGGGGATTCTGTACGCCAAGGAACAAAAGTATGTCTGTACATCTACTGTAATACCTGTATAGAACACGGAATTAAAGTTACGCTTCGAGCATCTTTGCCTGTGCCCAGTATTGGGCGGCAAGGGTTAATCCAAGCCCTCTTATTTTCGGTTCTTTATTTGTATATGACTCTTGGAAAATCATAAGTCTCAGATATCAAGATACGCCGTATAGTCGTGTTTCTCTTGAAACACTATATTTCCTCCCCTATTAAATTCCTCTAGCAGACTCTTTGAGCCCCATCAGTCTCCTATAAATATTGTCCTATGAGGCGTGCGTATCTGTCATGTAGATCTCAACTAGCCGTTTTGGCGCACTTCGAAAATCCTGCTCCTTATATTAATCCCTGCACATGCCTTCACATGCATGACTTGGAACTTTCTTTCTCCAAGATTGAAGGTTTAGACTGGTCCATGCCAAGCCGTTTATATCTCAATATCTTGGCATGACATTTTTAATAATTAGATGTATACATGTATATAACTATGCACATACGTAAGCGCATATCCAAATCTGGGTGTCTGAATTCTTGGCCTAGTTTTGTGACAATGCATTCGATAATCAACGACATACCGAAGAATTCTCAGTATGCAATATGGTCCACAAAAGCTCAAATTAACCACGAATAATTCTGAAGGTTGTTGCCCTCACGATTGGAAACTACATAAGCTGAAACACTTAATAGTACTCCAATATTAGTCGTTTATTAAGAAAAACAAGTGAATTCTCACCTGAATCCATTCCTCGTTAAGATTAAGCTTGGACCGAATTCTAAGTAAACTCTCATAAACAGAGAATTAGTGGTTAAATGGCAGGATTTGTTCCCGCTTTAACTTGCGTTCGGAAGTCTGCATAGGTATACTTGCATTAGAGATATTTTTTAGCCCTGCAGACACTGTCCACGGGTATCCTCTCACCTCAGACCGGTCGATGTCTTATACGACTGTCGTATATTTCGGTATCCTGTAATCCTCAAGCTGATCCTACTGCATGTCGGCACCTAACCTTGCCGATGCTGGTTGCGACCCACAGTATTCAAGGACTTTGACTCCTCCCCTCGTATATATCTCAGCCATGAAAATAAACTCTTGGCTAATAGTGTCCACTATTACCTACTAAATATAACACAATACTAATCTTTGTACATGCATCTCTAACAACCTGAAACGATTTTATGAAGACCAATGACCTGATTTTTTTCGTAATCCAACGACTCGATCTTTTCGTACTTAACACACTAAATCTTTTACTTGGCACTCGGGTCGGAGTTGAAACTGTTTTAATAGCAGTCCCAGCAAATCACTCTGTATTATCGTAGCTATCGAGCTAGGAAAAAAAATTGTTATACTCCTTATTCTGACTAAAATAAGTGTTTTAGACTCCTTGCTTTCAAATCTCAGTCCTAGTTTGAGTATATTTATCTACGCTTTCATAGCCGGTGTGATGTAATGTCTGGTTGCCAACTGCACAACACTCTAATACTGCAAAAAAAGTTCCCCAATGTGGAATTTATAGAGACGCTGTGGAGTCTAGTAAGCCAAGTGTTTTTGGTCAAACATCATGCCGGCCAAGTCCATAACAAGGTCACTCACCCGGCAAGTGTTCTAGATCTACCCTTATTCCTAGTGCCGCATAAGGGATAATCACCCCTTCTGGTAACAAAACCCGTGCTATATACCTTTTATCCTTACTCTCAGGTATTTACTCTAAAGTATCTCATCCAGTTACATCCACTGGTGAATTATAAATTCCATTTTTACCAAAATTCACTCTATCCTAAGCCTTGCCTCTCGGATAAATGGATACCTCTGCTTACTTTTAATGTTACTTGACTGTATTCCCTAATTATCTGCTCTATCCGTCAAATATCCCTTTTTTCCTTGCCAAGATCAAAAATCATCTTCATCAGCTATGCTAGGTGTCTTACTCGTACCTCAAGGATACCAAGGCTGTCAAACCGTGCATGTTTGATACTCCATCAGTTGATCAAAATGACACCACAGTCTAATGGCTGAACTCTACCTCCATGGAATCCAAGGAGGTGTTTCCGGCAATAATTTGGAAAGAAAACTTCCATTGCTAGGGTGCCTAGCAATTTATCCATACGGGGGTAATATAATTCCCGCAAGGAATATTAACCAACGTCATAGAAGGTTTAGATCCTTCGAACGGGATGGCATATAGAAACATACTCTGACAAAGATACGGAGACACATTTCCAATGCATGAGAATTTAAAGGGTAACGCCAATGTACTTTGAAAGAGAAGCTTACTTGAGACTTTATGTCGCTTAAAGTTGACTCACCAATCAATTCTCTGTTCCCAGAATATTAAATTTAATTACCTTTTTTATTCAAGAAAGTGAACCATTATTTTAAGGATTTTAATTGGCATATATATAAATACATGTACATATATGTGTATTGACAATATTTAAAAACTACAGTAGGATATATTTTGGTCTACGTTGCACAAATATAAATACAATACAAATTACTGTTTAGACCACTTTTTGTCGCTTCCTTCTGGACAGACCATTTCCCTCCAAACCTCTAGGATTCTGGATTCCCGTATTCGATAAATCCAAATACCTAAGTCTCATTGCCAATGCGAGTGTCTCGGATGAGTACCCCATATACAACCTAGGGTTAGAACTCAAATCGAGACGTTGGAGTGCTCCAGGAAACTTGATAACTCCGGTTGTGAGTGGTTCAAAAGGTACAATTTGAGGGTCCTCCGTGCCCCCGATACAGTTCTGGTGCAAACTGAGAGCTTCCAAGGTGGAGGGCAAGCGTTTGAGGAAATCAAGGGTGGAAACCAATGACATATTAACGGTCAATGTCTTAAGGGAGAGCGGAAACGTGGTCTCGTTTAAGCAGGCAGAATTAACCATCGAGGCAAAAATCTGTAGGCTCACCAAGTTTGTGAGCTGCAGGATCTCAAAGTCCACAAGCATGCGGCAGCGGAGAACCAAGCTTCTGAGGTTAACAGGGAGAAAAACATTCGCTAGATGCCTCAAGGAAACACTTTCGATCTCAAGAAAATGGACGCTAGTAGGTATCGTCAATCCACCGATCTCATAGGACTCACAATTGAGGCAAAGCGTTGTTAACGAAGATGGAAACCGTGCATTGTTAAAATCAAGGATGTTTATTGGCGCATCGCATAAACTGAGCTCTTTTAACCTCGGTGGAAGATCACGGAAAAGTGCTGCGGATAAGCACACCTTAGATAGGTGTAATGTCTCTATAGTGTGTTGGTCCCTGAGTGAGGGATACGACCCAAAGAATGGAACTAATTCATCCTCCACTTCTAGTATGGACAAGTTTTCCGGTAGTTTAATGGTCTCCCAGTTTGGTCCTAGGCAGGTGAGGTTGAGCCGGCAGGTGTTTCCAAGGCTCCGAAGTAGGCCCAATCCCCGGTCCAACTCCGCCCCAAAAAACGAACATCGAACATTTAGCGCTTTGAAGTGTTTGAGTCTCTCTACCGTTGCCATCCGTAGAGTCGAGATTTGCGTTCGATAGAGGATAAGCGTTCCCCTGTACAACAGGACGGCCGAAAGGCCGGGATCCTCTGCAAATAACTCAAACTCCTTAATCGTCATGTAACTAGATTTTTTGTGTTGAGGAATCATTGAGTCACTGATAATGAGATTTCTAAAGTACCTTCGGGTGGCGGTGTCTCTGAAGCCAGAGTAGAAGAAAGGTGGCATGTATGTATATGGTAGCAATGCAAAGATCCGTTCGATCACTTCTGTAGGTAAGCGGGCTAGTCGAATCCAATCATCAGGTGTCCCATTGTTTTCGGGTTTGATACAGTCCATAATGGCACTGAAAACGGTTGACCAAGCTACCAATGGACGGCGCAAGTGCTTAAAATGAGCTACACCAGGGACCGCCGAGTGCCAATCATGGGGCATATCACGTGACATAATACCCTACATTCCTCCACACTAAAATCTGTATCGTCTACCACGTTTTCTGTACTCAAGATATTTACGTTTCTAGAGACTTAAAAACCGCTTAAACTAGGCAAAATTTCGTTACTTACATTCCCTTTTCTCAAGTTAGAAATGTTAAATGTTGTTACTTGAGAGAGTACCTGTGTATACTCAAACATTAATGGCGCAGTTTAAACTTTGAAGCACGTGCACGAATTGTGGGGTAGCTTGGAAAGTTATATCCCTATTGAACCGAACCAACATTTCCGATATCAAAGTTTACAAAATGGCTGGTACAGGTATAGGATGTTTATGGAAGCATATGCTGTCATTACCCTCAGGTTTCTCCATTGTAAGCATTGAATTCGATTTTACAGCCGCTAGTGTTTTAGCAAGCTGGTACCCATACGCTTCGACTACCCCGTTATTAGTCCCACATTTTATTTAAAACCATCCCTGTATACCTGTATTGAGAACCAGAGCGCCTATAATATCTGTATCTGCACTCTTCTGTGTGCAATTTGACACACCAAGCCTGCGATTCCTCAGCAGGAGACATTCATGTACCGGTTTCTATATATACATAGCGGAATGGACTCTATTCACAACTTCAAACGACAATGATTTGGCAATAAACTTTCATTTCAATCAATGTCTTTATGGAGTCGTGTTTACCTTTGGCTATGACAATGAGCATGGCACAACCCATCCCTGCCGCATTAGGAAAGACGCGTAGCGTGAGGTGCATGTCTTTTCCACGCACAACGACGCGTCACACAAGGCCCGGAAGATGCCTTAGGATACACCTGATACAAGACCACCACTTATATTTGGCACCCACCTCGGAGAGACTTTCCCAAGTAGTATGGATCTGGGAATTTCGAAGGACAGTGGCATTTCCCGGAAGAGAAAATCCATGACGGAGTTTGATCTTCGAGCGTGGAAGGACCAGTGGTTGAAGCTCTTTCCCTCCAGTCACGTCTTCCTCGACGTTGACCCCAATTCGACCCAGGACTACACCAAATACACATTACGATTAAAATCACTTGGGTGCAATATTGTGACAAAGTTCAACCTCCAGGTCACAATTATCGTTAGCGATAGATCATACAACTCGGCGATACCCTACCCGTCCTGGGACCCGTTTACCCACCTTTGCAGCCATCCCCATATTAAGGTATGGTCTGCTGCCAAATGTGAGCGGTTCTTGCATCATTTCCGCCGTCTTAGTAACCCCTACGTTCCCCCAGAGCATCAGGCCGAGCGTGGGTTCCAATACTTTGACAAGTCCAAGTACATGGCCATGGTGTACGATCTCCAGCAGCGGCAGCGCCCTGTGGGAGTCAAAGAGTATGCCAAAAGAAGCCAGCCGTTGTTTTGTAGCTCTCCATCCGCCACGTTTGTTGGCGGATACATTTGCATGGCCAAGAACCCAATCACCCCTGAGAAGCAAGCAGCTATTGTCGAAGCATCTAGCGTGGAACGGTACAGAGACGAAAATGCGACGAACGGCAGAATGGGGCTGTATATGAGCCACGAGACATATGGACCGGGGGTCCCCCTCCACCGCACCTGGAGACGCAGCTCTGAAGAAGCACGACGTCTCAAGAGGTTGAGCGAGCTTTCCGTCCATCCTTCGGTATCAGAAAAGCTCAGAACATTAAAGCTGAAAGAAAAAGATCTGGAAAAGTCACCCATAATGACTCCAGTGAAGAGGCAAAACAAAGGGCCAAACACACAGCTTCTTACTCCACGGGACAGCCCTATCAAACCCCTCGTTCAGGACTGTACCAACCCCCCGAGCACGGTCTACTGTGAACCGTGCCGCACCTTTATTGATCACTACGAAGAGCACAAGGTGTCGGCAAAACATAGAATGGCAATCAGCTCGCCAGAAAGCCGTGAGGTGTACCGCGACATCGATCTGTTGATAAGTCGCATTGGCCAAGTCAGCGGTCTCAGTAGATCCGTCAGTTATTGGACATGAACATAACGAAAGCAGTAACTTAATGAATCACGAATGAAACAGTAATGTAAAGGATGGTAAGGTCTGAATAATCAATCAGTAATGTTATAAATCCAAACCTGATCTAACGTTATTCACGGGTCAGGCGAGGGTGCAGAAATGGTATAGCAGCTGCAAATAGGGGATATTTATTACGTTGGTTTCACGTCATGCAAGTTAATACAAAACTAGTCACAGTTTCCTCCTTGTCAACTCATTTTTAATTGATCTACAATATATACTTGAACTCACTACTCGTTCCCTCTGGGTTCTGTACGAGGTGCCATCCAAGCTTCCCCATTAAACCTTCCTGCATCCATCTTCCTGCATTTAATTCTCTGCTACAAAAATTTTATGGTAATTTTTAACATCTCCATCCCATCTACACAACATGTCTTCCCACGACGAATTTTCCTCCGACGAAGAAGAAGAGGAAGCCTCCCAGGTTTTTCTCGGCTATATCGATGCCCCCATCGACGCGGACGAGCAGCCAACCATCGAAGACACGTTCCTAGGCGGTGAGCCCGCATGGCTCCATCCGGACGTGGCGCCGCCAGCTGAGTTGTTACACTGTGGCCACTGCACTGCCCCAATGGCCTTGTACCTACAGGCATGTGCTCCAGTAGATGGAACCTTCTACGACAGATCCTTATACGTGTTTGGATGCAAAAAGGGTGGGTGCAGAAGACAAAAGGGTGCCGTGAGATGTCTCAGGGGAATCTGCAAGGACTCCAGAAAGATGAAAGCGATGGAAACGGAGACACAGGAAGCAACCAGAAAATTACTTGACGAAAAGTTGAAGATCGAAGAAAAGAAGAAGCTTGCCTTTGAGGTCACAAAGGACTTGTTTGGCAAGAAGGAGGGTGATGCTTCTAATAATGTCGCTGCTGCCAATCCCTTTGGTGGTAACCCATTTGCCCAAAGCAATCCCTTCTCCCAGCCTGAGGCTGACACTCCCTTTGGTACAGCCGCCACTCCCTTTGGTACAGCAGTCACTCCCTTTGGTACATCTGAGGCTACCAAGCCAAGTTTCTCGGAGGTTGCAACCAGAGCTGCGCCGCCAAAGGCCAAGAAGATTATCAGTCCAAAGGTAAAGCTTTCGTCTTTCCCGGGCTCCTTTGTCTATGTAGAAGCAGAAAAGCTCACAAAGGTCACGGAAGCCTTGCCTGCCAACGTCAAAATTGACTCTTCGGCATTGGACACGGCGTTCGAGGCCCCTGCGGCCGTGGGTGGAAAGAACACCATAACTCCGGAAGCCCAGCAGATTGCAAGCATGATGGAGGACAAGCAGTTCCAGCACTTCACCTCTGTCGTGCAGCACAACCCGCAGCAGGTTTTGCGCTACGACATGGGCGGGAAGCCGTTGTTATACACCTCCAAGGATGACGTGGCCAGGGTGTTTGTCAACGAAAACAAGGAGTTCAGGATCCCCACCCCGGGCTTCAACCCCTCGTCCCAGAGACGCTTCGAGTTGCAGCTCATGCCTAAGGCCATTATGGACTTGGACAGTGCCACCAGCGACATCCTCGCGGACGGGATGGAATGGGGCACTATCATCTGTTGCACCGATGTGGAGGACTATATCCCCGAGGACAGATATACTATCATTGAGGCTGACGGCGAGAAGATTGAGGTTGCCTATGTGGAGGAGTGGTGCGGTGTCCAATGGGAATAGCAGGTAGGTATGAGATTGTGTATAGTTGAAAGCTTGAAAATGACGAGAGGCAAGGCAGTACGAGTGAGATGTGGATACTACGTTATCTGAGTGTCTATTTAATGTTGATGATCTTGAATTGATGTCTTCAAAGCAGTGTGCAGTAGCCTAGAGGTATTGTTGCTCGAGTGATGGAAATATCGAACGGTTTTAAAAATGTTTCAAGAACAAAGGAATGAATCATCGTCCAAAGCACACTTCGTTTGTCACTGCCGAGTCTCATTTTGGCTAATTTTTGGGATGGCCAAACTTAGACAATCATCTGTAAACCTCTTATGCTTCTGCAAGCCTACTGCCTCCTGGACGCCAACCCCATACGGCATGCCCACGCTACAGTTTTTGGTAGTGCATGCTCAGCACTGTGCGGCTGTGACCTCAATCCCCAAAAATTTATGCTCCGCTATATCGGCGCCTGAAAAATCACAACCCACGCTGTAGACAGTTCAGGACCCACAAACCATCATATATAAACCACTTAGTCATCACACCTACCCCCTACATCACATGTCTTTTTTCATAAACCAGAACAACCTCTCCCAGTTGGAAGTGAACCAGGATAAGATCAAGCTTGCGGAGATACAGTTTGAGGCCATGTCTCAGACCTTCAACACGTATGTACTATTATTACGGAGGTTGAGAAACCTATTTGGAGATACCACCCACTGAAATAGCGTGAGACTGGAATGATAAGTGAGTTTCTTCTTGTGATATGCATTTGCATTTTGTCTCTGCGTCATTTCTGTGACGTCAAAGATGTCTGTTCTGGAACATGTCCTGAGCCTCGACTTTGCTTCAACCCCCTCGATGTTTTCCTGTCGGCTTTTACAAATACTAACAGTCTGTAGAATCATGTACCTGTGCAAGGAAAAGTGTATCCCACACCTCTACGGTGAATTGGAGCTTCTCAAGGGTGAACAGATCTGCATCGACAGATGTGTCGCCAAATACATGACCGCAAACCGCAAGGTCGGCGAGTTGGTTCAGAGATCTGGCTTACACCCTGATTATGACATGCCAGCGTACCAGAAGGTTAAAAAGATCTTGGAGGAGAACCAGAAATAGAGGCTGTTGGTTCCTGTATAATATTGTTTTCTGTATATATTCGAACAAGTGGTCTAGATGACCCATTGCACGGGAAAAAAGATACGAGACTTGGTTCTCCATAGGAATCACCTGTCCAGGCCTCTAGTGGTTGTGCTTCAGTTTTAAATGCCAACGACATGTATGGTAAGATAATGGCAACTTGGGGCCGTAATCAAAAACCGTATAAAAACAGCATGAGCGCCGAGCTCATTATACTCTCGCCTATATTTAAATAAAGTGCCCCTTCACCAGTTCCTAAGGCCAAGTCAAAGCTTCAAAATCACCTGATCCGGTCCTACCTTAAATATCTAAGATTTTAATTCCACGTACAAACTCCAAAAACAAGCGCTAGTACAACACCACACTGTCTACACAGCCGAACCCGGCAGCAACACCACCCTCATTGCTCGACTCAAACTTCGATCTAAGCAACCAGCCGGCCGTCTTGTTGGTTAAAATCTCACCAGTCTGCTCGTTGAAAACAGCGGTACCGAAAACGCCCAACTCGGAAATGATCGGCTCGCTGAACGTCTCGTCAGACCGTACAATCTTGTTGTCGTATCTTGGCGGTGAGATCAACGCCATCAAAATGTACCCGGCCCACTCCTTCTCGTCCAAGGAGCGGAGGAAGCCAGGGATATTTTCCTTGTAAATGTTGTTTCCTCCGCCCTCTCTCTGTGGCTTCAATACAAAGTGCTCTGATTGCTCAAATGCGAGCTTTTTCGCGAGCTGTCCGCGTGGGGTGTCGTCCAATGGATAGATATCCACAAAGGTGGACAACAATTGCGCGAGCTGAGCCTCCGGGGCGTCTGGTAAGAACTGGACGATTTGTTCGCGAGTGGTCAAGATCTGCTGAATTTTCTTGGAACCCGAGAGCTGAGTCAACAACGAGGGACACTTGACCGCAAGAGACGTTTCCAAATGCAATCTAGCCTCCCAGGTCGATTCGTTCACGTAATCGGCAGGAGCATAACCGGATCTGAAGTAAACCACAGACACCTCTTCACCACTGGCATTGACATAGAGCTTTCTGGCGGCGTCAACGGTGGTTTTGGTGGTGATTTCGCCCAAGGTCATTCTCACGGACTTGATCCCGCGCTTCAACAACGAGTACTCAATGTGTCTCTGGTCGAAAACATTTCTCTCGCCCGGCTGAACCACCACCAAAACCACGGTAGAGGTGTCTTGCGATTCGTTATAAGCAGCATGTCCATCTGCTAAGCCACTCGCCAACTTTTCAATGGACTCAGAAGCTGGCAAAGCTTTGGGGTCGTAGTACTTCTTGCCATCGGCGGTGTAGGCGCCCGTGTTGTTCAAATAAGAGTGCGCTTCGGCAATCTTGGAGGAAAGCCCCCCGAAGGACACACTCACCGTGTTGAACTCAATCTGCTTGATTTCAGCGCCATGGACCATGTAATCGGATCTAAACAAACCCATTGATACCGGCTGCGGGATTCCGATCTGAACGGCCGCTTTGTAGGTGGAAAACAATTTCCCTGTAAAGTCGGGGTCGAACTCAGACAAGCTCTCTAAGATCGTCGTTAACCAGGGCGTGTTGGTCACGACGTTAATATACAACTGGTTGAACGTTTCCTGGACTGCTAATGCACTCAGGAAGGCCTCGCGGGGAAACGGTGTCGGAAAAAGCGTCATGGGCGCGGCCACCGGTGAGAATGTCTTGAACTGCGGCGGGTACATTGTCAACCCATTGGCCAAACTCCAGTGCAAGAGCCTCTCCGTGAGCAGTGACTGCTGGTCTGGGGATAATTGGGGGAATGGAGGCGACATATGGTTGGTGTAACTGAGGTAAGGTGACAATGCTAAAGAGGTGGGATGGGTGTTTAAGTTGAGGTTCGCTTAGTAAGAATGCAACTGTCACGTGTGATTGAGTATGTGCGAGGATAGTCCGGGGATTAATGTGCGGCGCAGAGCGTGGTGGGCGAATAATATGGCACGTGTAACGAAGCTTCGAGGGTGTCATTAAGTAAACTTATGCATACGTTGGTGTTTCGAAAGCCCTCATCACCGGGAGAAGGATCCCTTGTACATTATTGTATCACCGTCGCCGTTGTTTTAACAGAAATTTTACGAAAAGGGGGTGCTGATTCAAGATTGAAAAGGTTTCAAATGCCACTTCGTGATGGGGTTTGAAATTTTAACGGCACAAACTTAGATACCAACTGTATGAAACCTAAAATCCATCGCGCATACACAAGAGGTGGAATGGCACCTACAGAACCTAATATAACGGAAAGAATCGTCGAAAGATTGTCAGCTGGCTCCCCCGCTTTGTATGAACTACAGGAGCAGGAGCAAAGGTAAACGGCTGTTTCCCAAATTCTTTGAAAAATTCAGTAATCTAGTCCAATATATATTAAACGAAGACTCTTGCTCCGGCCAAAGACTCCCAATAAAAGTCATTAGACGCAAGCCAAGAATAACCTTTTACATTATCGGTGGATCCTGATATATTTTCACTAAGGTCTGACGATAGCTATAATAAACCGATATCATCGACACCGATTGGATAATATGAACTAGCGCCATATCCATTCTTAACTCGACGCCTGCTTGCCCTTTCGTACGATAAAATCACGATAAAAACCTCTGCCAACCTTTGCAAGAGAGTGCCGACCGTCGTATAACGGAAATAACCCAATGATGACAAAAGCGAGATAAAGCCAGAGGATTGCCATCGTTGTCCAGCCTTTGAAGAACGCCTTATTCCAAATCCAATCTCTGTACAAAGGCATAGGCCAAACAACCCACGTCACCACAAACACAAACACAGCGGCAATACGGGATATTTTGATATAAAAATTGAGCTTCTTTAGCCTCTTGACTTCATCATCCTCCAAGTCAGTCTCAAGGGAAGCTTGCTCGGCGGGGGTACCAGCGTCCAGTGTGGCAACAACCACTGGCTCGTCCTTTTCTTTGCTGGCGGCTTCAGACACAAACTGCACTTCGTCTATATAATCCTCCTGTGGGTCCACCACAATAAGTTGAGCCCTCTTAAACTCATTCCAGTCGAATTTGTGAGGATTGATGGTCAAACTCACAATGACGCTAATAACCCCTGGCAAGAAGATTGCGGTTAAACCACCATAGAGAGAGGGGATTTGATCGCCAGTTGAAAGGATTGAAATCGATCCATGGAAATGGTACGCCGTGGACAACCAAACGGCAATGCCGGAAACCATCCCAATGATGGGAGAAATGAAAGATGCCAATCTCGTTTGCCCATCCCACATGATTGTCAATACCAAGGGAATGACCCCAGGACAAATGACCATAGAGACAAAGTAAGTCAACCATGTCATGTTTGTACCTGCGTAATGAAGCACAAGGGAGAACCCTGCAGCGAAAAGACCAAAAAAGACGACACCGAAATGCGAAACGTTGATCAAGTGTTTATTCGTCGCATCTGGCTTGATGTACTTCTTGTAAATATCAAAGGAGATGATACTACTCACCGAGATCATCTGAGCACTTGCGGTAGAGGTGACTGCGAGGTAGAGAATCAACAACACCGCACCAAGAGCACTATCACCCATTACGGCTTTGAAGGTGTACGGGAGAACGAAGCCACTATTAACTTCATAGGCCGACATGAGTCTTGGGTAGGTTGGAAAAATTGGAGTGCTCTCAAGGACAATTGCAGCTAGTCCGACAATGGTGCCGATCGGCCACACGTTGGCAAAGATGGTTCCAGCAGCAAGGAGGTAGCCAGGAACCGAGGCATCAAGATCGGCACTGAAGCTTTTCTGCCAAAACGACGAATCCATGACGGTGAGGCCGGTGTTACCGATGGTGAGAACAATACCAAAGAAAATGGCACCCTGGGATTTTCCCGTCAAAAAAGATCCTTGGAAGTTTCCCTTAATGTATCTATCACCGTCATGGGCGATAACCTTGTCATACAAGCCACCCATTCCCCCAATCTCGGGAGAAGTCAAAACAGATGTAGCAGCGTAGCACATGACTACCAAAACCACAAACGAGTGGACATAGTCTGTCAAGAATGTCGATTTGAGACCCCCAACGGTGGTGTATAACAACACTCCGAACGGAATGAGCATGGTACAGGCAACAATATGCATGTTACCAGCGATGACCGAGATAGCACCAGAGGCACCTAAAATCATCGCTGAGCAAGAAATGATATTGTTAACAAGGCAAAGAATCATGTACAAAATGTGACAAGCCTTGCCATATCTTATCTCCACGATTTCTAAGCACGTGTGACTAGCTGGGATCTTCTTCTTGGCTTCCATTCCCAACAAGGACATGAGACAAATCTGGAAACACAACCCAACACCGTACCAGAAGGAAGCCATTACACCGTAGTTGTAAACCATGGTGGTGACCATAAGAAACTCGGTACTCCAGGTCCAGCTGGAGTACACTGCACTGGCGGTCAAGCCCACACCGACCTTTCTGCCTGCCACCATAAACATTTCTGTCGACTGAGAGTTCTCTGCCAAGTACCTAGAAGACAATTTAGTCGCGACAACGATGCCGATGGCAAATAAAGCCCCAACTCCGACAAGAACCCCGTATCCCGAAGCTTGTCCTAATAATTCAACAGTTTCTGGCATGGATCTGTGGTTTTCTATGTTTTAGTTGAATCGTAAACTGCCAGTACCAGAAGGGAGGAACTGACCAGGTTTTATAATGCCACAAATGTCAAAGGGGAACATTGCGGTATACACTTTTCTTTGTAATGCGTACCAAAGTAAAGTTGCGCCGGAAATTCTATCCTGAGAGTTGAATCTATAACCTCACGTAGCGCTGTAGATAAGCTACACAGTTTAGAGTTGTGGCTGAAACTGTTCATTCGGGAGTGTTATGCCCGGACCAATGGCCAAAATAAAAGCGGCTAAGTAGATTACAAGTGATTTACAATCTCTGTACCTTACTTGTTTCCAGGAACTCAGCGACATAATTGACTCGTAATAAATCTGGAGTAGCCCCGAATGACAAGATTTGGATTAGAGAAATACCAGGCTCAGGAAAAAGCTGAAAAAAAAATACTGTATCCATATTCTCAGGGCTCACAGTACCTAGTTACACAATCTTAAACCTTACAGTATATTTTTATAGTTTTAGTTTACTAAAGTCTAAATATAATACGTATATGCATATTTCTGAGATCTAGCCATACAATGGCAATCCCCGGGTAGCTTATCACAGACTTTGTCTGGAGGATTGTCGCCACACCTTGCATACGAAGCTGCGACAATGATGTGATACATGGTGCATCACACACCATCAAATGCAGGCAGGCTCGAAACCCCTGACGACCAGGGAAACTGAACTGGTCAGCTTAACGGTTTACTGTTTTTTTCTCGGCGTAGTTGAGATATGCCCGATTACGATTCGGGTGGAAAACTCGTGGGCACGCATAATATTCTTCCGCGGCATATAATTCCTTGACCTATTGTCGAATATTAGCTTTTGCATGTGAAACTCTACTTGAAGCGATGGTATTAGATGTGTATATGGATAGCCCTTCATTGGGTACGTCATAAAACTGCCTTGGAAATGTAATTGGCATCCTATACTGATGATTTCACTAGTGATTAATTGGCGTTAGAACAGTATATGCTTCTATAAATTGTCTTTTATAGTAACATCACAAATACCCGCTCTTGAAGATCCCTTAAAGCGCCATAAGCACGCTTACACTACATGAGAGTAGTATAGCGTAGCTTAAGAGAGTTAATCTATCTGACACGCTTTACCTGTAAATTGTAAGCCGCCAAAGCTTGTATCAGACCTATTAAACTGCTGACAGTTCTTCAGAGATTTATAGGGGTTGTATTTTAATTATTTGTGCCCATCTAAATCGCCCTAGTGGATTTACAATCCATTTACATGCTCTTTTTCACCTCCAGGAACGTACAAAGATGTAAATGATAAGATCAATATTTGACGTGCGGTAGAGCGCCGGGAGTCTGGCAAGGAAATTCCACTATAGTGCTATCAAAACAAACTTTAATAAATACACCCTGGGTTAGGCTGGTCTTCTGGTAATCCACAGACCAGACTTGCAAGAGGTCGAATCGGACAGGTAGAAAAGTCTGGGCAGCTTCTGGTCTAAAAATAGTACGTCCTGTCAAGACGCATTATAGCCTTTGCTCGTGGTTTTCAAGCTCCATATCACTATAATAGACAGACACGATGTGGCTATAAACTATTGTTTACCGCTCATATATTCACATAAAAGATTTCTCAAACTCTCAACCACGCTAACACTCGATTATTTTTCCTCGACGCGTCGTGGCCAGACCTAGGTCGTGTGCAGCGCCGCACGCCTTTCCTGTTTCGGCGCTCGTAGTTTCTCCGGTCCTAACGCGGCGCAGTTTCTTTTTCTGATGGGATCAAATATTTATGGTTCATGTTTTACCTCTTTATCCTTACACGCTGTACCTGGAACTTCCTCTATTACTTGCTACCCCCTAATTCATCTTTCTACTGAGCTTTAACATAGCCTTGTTTAGCCTTCAACACCGAGTACAATGTTCAGTCTTACGTCGTTCCTTTCGTGTCTTTTCGCATTCACATTCTTGCACACAGCCATCGCCGACATCTCATTGTCGAACCCTGTTCCTGGTTCCAGCTTCAGCGGGTCGACCGGGACGGTCTCGATCTCTGTCGAGTGGATCGACTCCGGTGGTGCCCCGCCAGTGTCGGAAATTGAATCCTACACTTTCTCTCTCATGACCGGTAGCAACCTGGACATCTCGAATATCGCCACGCTTGCCGATGCGGTCTCTGCTCTGAAAATCACCGACGATACATACACCGTTACGTTTAAAAACACGGTCTGTGGTAATGGTTTGTTCTACATACAGGTCTATGGGGCTTTACTGGCTTCTGCTGGGTCCACCATCCAATACACCAACCGGTTTACCTTGACCGGTATGACAGGCTCAAAGGTTGCATCTGGGTCTGGGTCTCCTCCTCAAGGTCAGATATCTCTCGTCACCGGTGGAACCGCTGCTGCTTCTATAAACCCTGCGTCCTTCTCCGTTCCATACACGTTACAGACGGGGTCTACACGCTACGCGCCTATGCAATTGCAGCCAGGCACCTCCATCACTGTTACCACGTGGTCTAGACGGTTCCCAACCTCTGCTGTCACTTATTTCACTACCAAAATGGCTTCTCCGGTAGTTTACTCCACTGTCACACCCGGCTGGTCCTACACCATTAACTCGCAGCCAAACTACGCATCCCCGGCACCTAACCCATCCATCGCCGGCTGGTATGCCGCCAGCGAGCGTTTGGTGAGTGCCAGTTTATCTGGAAGCAGCAACACAACTGCCAAAGCCAAGCGTTACAACAAATGGGTGGATGAAGCATAAGCTGATTCCTGGAATGCAAACCCCAAGTGGAGATTTACTATCGCTGAAAGCTAGGCGAGTATCCCCTGTCTCCCTCACGTTTTTATCTTTCTTTGGTTCTTTATATTTACGCAGTAACTTTTCCTCCGATGTAGGGTGTAACTGAATTGTATTTAAGTATTTGTTTCCGGTCTCGCATCGTACTGCTAAATCAATAAAGTGCTTGATATTAGCTTTGGTCTTGAATTGTATCAAAGGAGCTGCTACTCGTGTTACAAGCGCCTTTCAGATTAGTGGACTATTCTCTTCATTCGGCATGGCGTGATATGGATAGCCCAGGACCTCGTTGTCCTCTAGGCTATGCATCTAGTATATTGAATAACCGAGCGTATCCTCTCATGTAATATTTATTACCTGCTGGGTATATATGGAGGTCATACCCGGATCACGCTCCTATAACTTCCAAGTATTGGGTTACGGTAGATATTTTCCACGTATACGTAAACAATGGCGTGCCAGATATAACTGGTAACGTAATTCTCCCTGGAAATACTTCCATCCGCACTAACGCCTAATCATCGCTACCCGTACTATCATTGTCGGAATCCAGTGAATCAGATTCGCCCTTAGAGGACCCTGAAAGTCCGTCAAAATCAAGAATTATCCCCGGATATACCAACTTGACCCCTTCTTTCCATCTACCGTAATTTTCAAATGCGTTGTCATGCATATGTAAGTCCCTCAAACTAGTGGATATGTCCAAGTGTTGGATAGTCCGCTCTGACAAGCCGTTCCTGCACAATTTCAAAGGTCGTAACCTTGGGGGAAGTTTGGATAGCCCTGTGAGGTAGTTAAGTGGAAGATCACACCGTTGATTTTTCAAAATCAACACTTCGAGAGAATCCGGTAGCTGCAAATCGTTAATTACACCAATTGCGTTCCTCTTAAAGTTCAATACCTTTAACTTAGGAAGCTGGATGGTATTGATTGATGTAAACATGTTGGCAACAAGCTCCAATCAAAGTAGACTGTCGGGGAAATAGACATTGGCCAAGCTGGATATGTGATTTCCCAGGAGAAGCATCGTTTTCTAATGTGGTGAAAACTCAACGTTTCCCAACGACATAAACTTGTTAGATTCAAAATCCAACTTAAATAAACTATCCGGAAAACGGACATTGGTCAAACAGGATATTTGATTAAACTGAAGATCTAATGCTTTCAAATGCAGTGGGAAACCATAAGTAATAACTAGACACCTGAGAACCTAGACACCTGTAGACAGAGCTCAAACACAACTAGCTTGAATGCAATATTTTGAACGACAAATGCCACTCATTATACCAAGATCTTATAAGCCTAGCAGATCTCTGATATGTCAACTCACCAAGAGGAATATTAAAATTCCAAATATACAATAATTGCATCTCTCTACGTTTAAAACCATAATACCAGCTTCTCGTTCCATAACCTCTGCGGTATCACGTGCTCAAACTTTGCTCCGACGCGTCTTGCCAGCAGGCCCGTTTAATTGAAAAGCATCTTGCGTCTAGCTATTACTTTTTTTCCTCCATCCCTCTTTTTCATTCCCCTCAATTACCATCCATGAACCGAACACGACTCACACTCCTCGTCGTGGGGGTGCTCTTCCACCTCTGCTACCTCTGGTCGATCTTTGATATCTACTTTGTGTCGCCGTTGGTGCACGGGATGCAGCACCACAACTCTATCCAGTCCGTGCCCGTGACGGTTTCCTCCGCCGCGCCCGCCAAACGACTCTTCCTCATTGTGGGCGACGGTTTGCGCGCCGACAAGACCTTTGATCTCCTCACCCATCCGTCAACCGGCAAAACAGAGTACCTCGCGCCATACCTCCGGTCGCTCGTGCTCCACAACGCGACATACGGGGTTTCGCACACGCGGATGCCGACAGAGTCCAGACCGGGCCACGTAGCGATGATTGCTGGGTTCTACGAAGACGTTTCAGCGGTCACCAAGGGCTGGAAGGAGAACCCCGTGGACTTTGATTCATGCTTCAACCAGTCGCGCCACACGTACTCGTTCGGCTCGCCGGATATCCTCCCAATGTTCGCGCAGGGCGCGTCAGACAAGCTGCGAATCGACACCTGGATGTACGGGCACGAGTTTGAGGACTTTTCCAAATCGTCGATCGAGCTCGACGCGTTCGTGTTCCGTCACTTGGACGAGCTCATGGCCAACTCCACCGCCGACGAAGCACTCGACGTGGAGATTCGCCAGGAAGGTAACATCTTTTTCCTCCATTTGCTCGGCTGCGACACCGCCGGTCACTCCTACCGCCCGTACTCCGCTGAATACTATGATAACATCAAATACATCGACCAGATGCTCGAGAAAGTGGTTCCGCGCATCAATGCCTTCTTTGACGACGAAGACACGGCCTTTATCTTTACCGCCGACCACGGGATGTCCGACTTTGGCTCTCACGGTGACGGCCATCCGGACAACACACGCACGCCGATCATCGCCTGGGGCGCGGGTATCAACAAGCCCGTCCGAAACGAGCAACCCGTTTTTAGCATTCCCGAAGACAACGAGGACACGTACATGGCGGGCTGGGGGTTGGAGCACGTCCGCAGAAATGACGTCAAACAAGCGGACATTGCGTCATTGATGTCGTACTTGGTCGGGATAAACTACCCGGCAAACTCTGTCGGCGAACTTCCGCTCGCGTTCGTGCTGGCGCCAGAAGCGCAGAAGTTGCGTTCATTGTACCAGAACTCACTCGCGGTGTGGGAGCAGTACAGGATCAAAGAGCAAGAGGTGTCTGTCGCTCAGTTTAGCTTCAAACCGTTCCCTGGCTTTGCCACAAAGACCGTAGATGAGTACAAGGCGCAGATTGAGGCGGGGATTAACAGCGAGGACCCAGCCACCATTACGGTAGTTGAGGAGTTTATGCAGACGTCTTTAGAGGGCTTGACATATCTCCAGACGTACAACTGGTTGTTGTTGCGCACAATTGCTAGTGCTGGGTTCGTGGGATGGATCGTGTATTCGTTTATTATCTTTCTCAGATTGTTTGTTCTCAAGCCTCAGACTTCAGAAACTGAGGTGGCCGAAGACTCTGAAAAAGTTCAGGACAGCAAGGATAGCACCGATGAGGGAAGCACCTTTGGTGCGGTGACTGACGTCGGTTTCGCCTTCCTCACGCTCTTCCTCAATTACGTCCTCTTTGTCCAGCGCTCTCCCTTCAACTATCACGCATACCTCGCCTTCCCGCTCTTCTTCTGGAAGGAAATCTCTGTCAACAAGCGTGTTCTTGTCAACGGGATCACCGCCTTCTTTGCCAACGTCTCCGTGCCCATCCGCATTGCCTCCGTTATTGGCGTCCTTGCCATCTTTGAATCTATTGTGTACGGGTTCTTTAACCGCCGCATCTTTTCCGTGGTGTTTGTTGCCCTTGGCGTGGCCTACCCCGCCTTGCTCTGGAAAACGTCTGGGTCCATCTCCTTGGGTGCCTCCACGCTCTGGTTCCTCACTTGTTGCGGCTTGTCCACCTTCACGCTCTTTGATGCCGTCAAGGTGGAGAACTTGGCGCTCATCAATATTGGCGGAGCGGGCTGCTTGCTTGTGGGGGTTTACGGTTTCTACTACATCGCTACCCACCCAGTTCACCATCACAAGGGTCACTACACGCTTAACGGCGTGACTTCCGCGCTTGTGGTGGTCCAGATCTTGCTCGTAGTTGTCTCCTTGGCCACCACCCAGCTTGCCGTTGTCAGCTTGCAGGCGAGAGCGGGGTTGCCGAAGCTCGCGCAATACGGTGGGTTTGCCGTCTTGCTCGCGTCGTTGGTAGTCTTGCCGGTGGCCCAGGCGGTGGTCCAGCCACGCAACAAGGACTACCGCTTGCGCTTGCTCACCATCTTCCTCCTGTTTGCCCCGACCTTTATCATCTTGACCATCTCCTTCGAAGCCATCTTCTACCTTACCTATTCGTTGATGTTATTGCAGTGGATCGAGCTAGAGTCGCGTGTCAACGCCTGTGAGCGCCACAAGCCGGGGGCGAATGTTTGGATCCAGGTCTTGCGTGTCGCGGTTGTCGGTTTCTTTTACTTACAAATCGCCTTCTTCGGCACTGGTAATGTGGCCTCCATTTCGTCCTTCTCGCTTGACTCCGTGTACCGCCTCCTTCCTATTTTCGACCCGTTCCCAATGGGTGCGTTGCTCATGTTGAAGTTGGTTATCCCATACGTTTTGTTGTCGGTCGCCCTTGGCATCATGAACCACAAGTTGCACATCGAGACATTCACCATCACCACCTTGGTCATCTCCACCAGTGACATTTTGAGCATGAACTTCTTCTTCTTGGTCAAGACCGAGGGCTCGTGGTTGGACATTGGTGTCACCATTTCCAACTACTGCTTGGCCATCTTATCCTCCTTGTTCATGTTGTTGTTGGAGTTCATCAGCCAGCCGTTGTTGCATGGCGTCGAGATTTTGAGCGTCGAGGAAGTTGCTGTCGAAAAGGTTATCGAAAAGGTCGAGCGCCAGTTAGATTTCGAGGACAAGCCGGAGCCTATCGTGGTTGACTTGGATGATGAGACCCCTGTCAGCGCCAGACTCAGACGGGTCAGAAAAACGAACTAAGTTACTAGATTATTTAATGCATTAAAGGATAGTGTTAGACGTGAATGCTGCAGAGAACTTACCTGATTAAGTATAACTCGTGGAGGCTTCGGTTGAGGTCAATAACGGCAAGCGTAAGTGAGGTGCTCTCCCAATCGCGGTGAGTTTAATATTTGCAATCTAGTTTTATTTTAGATCTAGGTCGTACATGATGGAGACGTAAATTATATACCCATTCTTACGTTAGCTTCGTACTCTTCATCTCTTTGCTTATACCTTTATATACAAGAGCGACGCTGCGCTTATTTGAGCTGCTTGCCTGGGGCGTGGGCGTTGATGGTTGGAATTTCCTCAAGCGCGACGTTTTCAAAACTGCCCTGCAATTTCTCCAAAACCTCGTTCCAGATAGAGCCGGAGCTCTTGCCCAAACAGTCTATCTCGACCTTTTCACCGGAAGCCTTGGTGATTGTGAGGACGGCTGGGACCTTTGCGGCCTGTTCCAAGCCCGAGACGTGGACCCTCTGCACGGAAATTGGAAACTCTGGGTTGTGGAATTTGACAACCGGCAAGTAGGTTCTCCAGAAATCCTTGAGCCCGATCTGCTTCAAGTTGACGTTGCTAGGCATCAACGCGTTAAAGGAAGTGACGTTGGCGGTGTTGATTCTGATCGCGGCCGATGGGTTGGAAACACCAGCGATGCGGTTCAACTTTTCCGCCTGGGTAGCTACCCTCTTTATCAACTGTGGAATAGGCATGGCGGGTGGTGTAGGAGGGTTGAAGATGGGTGGGTCGAACCTTTGTAGCTATAGTGAAAAATTCCTATAAAAACCTTGAAGAAATTCGCGTGCGCACGCCCACACACCCGTGCGCACACCTGGATATTTGCGTGGGGTGTTTACATCACGCTGTGTTCTCCTAGTTATTGGGAAAGTACAATCCTTATAACCTTGTCGGGGATGCTGGATCAGGTTTCACCGAAACAGAGAAACATCCTGGAATATGGCAAGATTGGGATCGGGGTTGCTAGTCCACACAAGGTGGAGTACAACTACCAGCTGATAGTGTTTCCCAGGTCAGCCCACATCTCTAGTGTGCCCCAGAGCATGGAAAGCAAGATTGACCCCTTTTCGCAGCATGCTACCAACTTGATCGCGATCCAAGCTGATTTGGCTGTGCTTCTCGTGGGACAGGAACGGTTGGCGCTGGAGATTGACGGTTTGCTTGCCAGGTTGACCCAGTCCCGGGACAAGACTGCAGCGTTATATACGCCCGTTGGTCAACCATTCCCCGAGAAGATAGGCGTGGCAAATGCAAATGAAAGAGAAGCGTTGCTGCCAGAAAAAGAGACAGAGATAGAGCGTCTGCGAATCTTGGATGAGACGTTCCGATCGTTGAACAGCAACTTAGAGGAAGAACAGAGCTTTCGGAAACACGGGTCGTACGTGCTGCCCAAATCGCGGGACAACCGAAAGACCACCTTCTTTCAGCTCCAGACGCCAGTGAAGGATAGGACGCCATCACAACGCAACCCCCACTCCATGATGATGCTAAATCCGAGCAACTTGATAAGCCAGGGGGCTTACAAGGAAGATATTTCTGTTCCTAATGTAAGCCAAAAGCGGATATCGGTATCTCTCCAAAGTCCAGATGTCTCCGTCCAAAAACTAAGTCATGACCAGCCGTTTGTTTCTCCCGCTTTACAGTTGCCCACGCCAGCAGACGAGCCTGAAACCGCACGCAACTCCACCAGTTCGGTAATGTCGATTGACTCCTCCTTCGAGGTGGAACTCATCACCCAGGTGTCCAACCACTTCCGCCAAATACCCCTGCGTACAGCCGAAGACGATACGCTCAGATCGACGCTAGACAGCTTGGTTCACGCGACGGTGGAACTTATTTCGACGCCGTTGACAGACTTAGAGGCAGGGTGTCTGATTCGAACGGGAGAAAAGTTGTACAGGGGCAACAACGTTCTCAGAAAGAAGAGTGGTGATGTGGCAAAGGCATTGGAAAAGCTAGTAGGGTCCTTCACCGAAGTACATGCTGAGAATTAGTGTTCACCATCTCTTTGTTGAATCTTGACGTTATTCATTTGAATGTAATGTGACCCCAACAGAGCTCTCCGGTAAAGCAACCAGTTCTGGAGATGGGCGTTATGTATCACCCTCCGTTGGTGTCTAATGGAGGAATTTTCAATGACATTTACATGTGATGTAAGCACAACAGACGGATTAAGCAATGGCACTGTGTCCGGAGTTTCCCCTCTATGCTTATAACCTACGATTGGATAAACTTCGGAAATATGTGTTATTCCCCTTAACCACTAAGCTTAACAATTAGCACAAACCCAAGCTCCAATATCTCCAACGTCACTAGGGCTTCCATATGTTATGGCATTGTAACAAAATAATGGAGCGCTACTATCACACAATGGTACCGGTTGTTAATCTCTGTATATTATTCAAACCATTTACATAAAACATCGCACTGGTAAATAAAAGGTTTACTTTATCCATAGTATTAGTCACACCATACCTCAAACAGTACCAGTTTAACAAGTACTAGTCTTTGACGTGCCGCCCATACTAATACGCAGTCACAAAATCACGGTTCAGTCTCCATCAACAACTAATCTAATCGTATAAGTAAATTCCAGTAACAATTTGTCTAGTGCTTGTTTCCCCTCGGCCTCGATGTATCCGCTCAGTAAACTCTAAAACGCAGCCCTTTTGCGTTTTTGCTATGACGCAACTTTCACAGCCAAGACCCCTGCCAGCGATGCGGGCCGCACTCAAAACCCCTTGGCTTCCAAGACGTCAGAGTCCCGCGGGCTTTCAACTATATGTATAGTCATAAGTCCTTAAGCTACAATTCGCAGAAGCGCGAAAAAAAAACCCGTGGGAATTGGGGGAAGCGATAATTGAGAACCCCGTCTACTGCCACCCCACGTTCTGAAAAGCCTATTCACATTCGGCAGCCCATTCGTGCATTCGTCCAGCTGCACTGCACCTTCGACAACGCTACGTAACCACGAGCCTGACACACCCCACTAAAAAAGCGCATCCGTTGCCTCCAGTAGCGCGGTCTGTTTCGCGGCCATCCTGCGCTGAACCCTCTACAAAATAAACTCCGGACTGAAATTATCCGCAACCAAGCCGCCACCGTTCCCCTATCATCCATATATCCCTCTAGATCCCGAGTATCCTGCTGTTTTTAACAAACGTTTGTTTGCTAAACTTCCCCAGTTAGGCTAACCTGACATTTCCACAATCATATACGCATTCGCTATAGTAACTTCATCTAATTACCCAGGACACCCGTCCCCTCCACATCCCTTTTCACAACCTCTATTCACTTCCATTAAATGTCCATGCCGTTGCGAACCAACTCAACCAAGGCCCGCTCGCCTCCGCTCGCCGAAATGCCCGAGATCAAACGTAGCAACTCGTCGTCTGCCGCCCTTGGCTCCAAGTTCAAGGGTCTTTTCATCAAATCACCGCGAAGCCAACCGGAATCGCCCCAAAGTGTGCCCCATATCGATAGAAGTCCATCGCCGCTACTGTCGCCACGAACACGCCCGCTCCCGCTGATCCAGGACGAGGAGCTCGATCCGGTTGGCGAGATTTTACGGAGTGTGAGGCTGGGTGAAAAGGCCGTGGGGAAGACGAGTTCGCCACCCAGCCGCCAACCATCGCACAAGGCTACACGCACGCGTACAAATTCAGTTGTGCCGCCCGGAGCTCACCGTGAAGGAACGCTCCTCACCCTCGTGGACGGAACGCACCAACACCAGATTATCAACCATCACAAGGCCGAGAAAGTTACCGGCGGTGGTCTTCTTGGGTTCATGAAGGGTGCCAAGCCGGTGGAATCGTACTCCTTGTTGGATGAAGACGATATCGCGTACCGATTGCTGCGCGATAGCGACACGGACGAATACACGGACGACGAGGACCAGGAGAGCGGTGAGTATGCGTCCGAGTCGGAGGAAGAGTCGGCGATCGGCGAGAAACAGGTGCGGCTCATTCGCAAGCTCACAAGTAAGATCGAAACGCCGTTCCCGCCCAACCCCAGTGCCGTCAAGTCGCTCACCTCAATCTACGGCAAGTGTCAGGGGATCGTCGGTCGCGGCGCCTATGGGATTGTCAAGGTGGTTTCCAAGGAACACTGCTCAGTGACGGCACAGCAACAGCGCTCTGGTCAGTTTTACGCGGTGAAGGAACTCAAACGGAAGTCGAACGAAGACATTCACCATTTCTCCAATCGCCTTACGTCTGAATTTTGCATTTCCTCCACCCTCAACCACCAGAACGTCTCCTTCACGCTCAACCTCATGCGCGATGTCACAGACACCATCTCCGTGGTACTTCCTCTCTGCGCGGGTGGTGACCTTTACAACTTGATTCTGACGTCGGAAGGCTTGGACGTCACCACGTCAGAGTGCTTCTTCAAGCAACTTTTGCGGGGGATTAAGTATATGCACGCGCACGGGATTGCGCACTGCGACATCAAGCCGGAGAATATCTTGCTCACTTCCACTGGGTGTCTCAAAATCACCGATTTTGGCACTGCCTGTGTCTTCCGTACCGCATGGGAACATAAGGTTGTGTTGTCGTCGGGCGCGTGCGGGTCTGAGCCGTATGTTGCGCCGGAGGAGTATGTTTTGGACGAGTACGATCCGCGCCATGCAGATGTGTGGTCTGCGGGTATTGTGTATATGACGATGCGCACGGGCTCATATTTGTGGCGCATCGCGAAGCTGCTGGATGAGTTGTATTCACAGTATCTTAAGGCGCGGCCACAGTACGAGTCACGCAAGTGTGTTCTTCGGGGGCGGTTTGAGGCGATTGAGGCGTTGCCGGGGGGGAGTGTACCGAAAGAGAGGCGGAAAATTTTGTATGCAATGTTGAATCCGGACCCGCTGTTCAGGTGGACGGCGAGGGAGGTTTTGAAAAGCGAGTGGTTGAGGAGCATTGATGTGTGCGAGGCGGGGCTGGGCGAGTATGAATGAATGATAAAAAACTCTAAGCGGTAAGGGGTATCCTGTGGACTTTCTGTCTGAAGCTTAAAGGGTGTGCTTGCTGCCTGTGGTGCCTAAGAATGAATCTTGAAGCCTTGGTTGGCTACGAGTCCCCAATGCGTATAGTCACATGTCCAAGTTTGGAAATGGCACGAAGTTAAATGACCTGCCTTGACGTCTGGGTATACTCTACAGTTCAGAGGTGTACGATGCGTCGAACCTACAAACGCCTACTTTGTTGAGTCTACCTCCATTACCTGTTCTAATGCCTAGTATGCAACCCTGCGTTAAAACCCCGAGATAACTAATCAAGCACATTGAGAGTATCAGCGAGGAAGTTTCGCTGGATCCTGCGGAATACTAATAATACTCGTTGAATGTAGTCCCACTTGAATAGGGGAATGAACAGAGTAATTTTCGAGGATTCCAAGATATAGAGTCAAAGTGATAGATCTGGGGCTAGTATCTCAACTCTCCAGACGTTTTAGGCAAATTCTTTTGAAACTGACTACATTATAACCAGTAGAACACCTCGAGAACTAAATTATGCTTGCCTAGCCATACTTGTAAGTGGGTGGTGTACTATAAAAAGAGATGCCCCTTTAGCTTCTACCAAGTCAGGTTTTTGATCTAAAGCACGCCTCTCCGGCTCTCTCTCTCTCAACACCCTCTCGTTGTTAATCTCAAACCAATACTTAAAGGTATCAGTGTCGTCAACAAAGCTTTCCCACTTGCCGTTCTCGCTAGTTGTTCCGTCTCCTTGATACGTCCCGTTCATTGGGTCACTGGCCAAGTCCCATGGTTTTGGCGCGAGGATGTAGTGGACATTTTTCACCTTTGACACGTCCCAGATTTCGCTGTGGATCTGCGGAAGGGTCTTTAACGCATTGTACACGTAGCTTAATCCCAACCACTGGTGGTTAAACACGTCCGAGAGTAGCGACTGGTCCGCAAAATCGTAATTCTCGGTCTTGCTTGGCTTGCTAATCGCCTGAATGATCTTGTTGTACGTTTCCTGGGACGGTTTCACCACCTGGAGCCCACCGTTGCAGATCCCCAACCCAGCGCTGGCCAGAGGGCCTACACAGATGGCTGAATTCCCCACCTGGTTGGTACGTGGGTCCGAGTAAGCACAATTGTCGTGGGTCCAGTTCCTAGGATAGTGTGACTTGTTGTATGGGTTGCACACACAGGCGTGAGAGGCAGCAAAGACCGAGTTCTTGGATAACTCAATGTCGAACAACTCGTCCATGTTCTGGAGCACCACCATGTCGCTGTCTAGCTGTACCACCATGTCAAACTGCACCAACAGGAAAGGTTGCAACTTTGACCAGCAGTCGTAGAATCTAACATCATTGGTGTAGTCTTTCAGGGCGGTTGGGAGCAAGTACCGGATGCGGAGCTTCGGGATCTGGCGTACATCTAATTCATGGTGACCGTCCTCCGTGAACGTGTCGGTGTATAGGGCGACGAGAGGGTACTTCGATCCCACGCGCTTCAAGGAATAGTCGAGGGCTAGCAATCCTGGGAGGTAGTCGGTATTCGTGATGAGAGTGGTCCATACCCTGGTAGCGGTGATTTTGGTATCTGTTAACACTGTCATGTTCAGGAGTGTTGGAGTGAGCGCTAGCTAGGGTCAATGGAAGGCGAATCTGGCCCTATATATACAAAGCAAGCCGTTTAGGCTCCGATATGCGAGTGCAGCCGATCGGCGGCATTAAAGGAGTAGATTAAGGTTGCTACTAACGCTAGCTGCGCCACGTGGACGTTGACGGTTTGCACCGCCCGAGAATGATAGTCATATAATTTAATATACATATAGTAACCAGGGATCGCTAGAGCTCTGTCCATAGAAAGGATCGGGGCACGGGCGGCCGCTATGCCATTTGTGTGGCTTATCGCTTATCTCCTGCGCTTGCTGATTAATGCTCGAAAGGGGTGCGGCAAGACCCTAGCTGCACGTTGATCTACACTGTGGGCTATACACGCCAGCAACCATGGTATACCGAGGCCTCAAGTATGGTTGCCCGGGTATAATTCTTCTAGGCCGATAGATGTCAATTGTGTAACGGGTGGTAATCTGGGGACTTTCCTATGATATAGATGCTGTGTCGAGGCGTGTAGGTTTAACTACGTGGGATGCGGGCCTACTTCCTAAAAAGGCATCTTTCCAAAATCTCTCTGATTGTCCTTTGTGGAAAAGAATAGTCTCAATTTCACGTGACACTGCAGCGTAGGAGCATTCCACTTATCTGGGGATGTTTGAATCAAGATTTATTCAATTAGAAGATTTTGATACATGGTTTGCTAATAGTCATGAACGCACAAAGTTAAATTATTAACAGTTATTATGGCCGATCCTGTTGGACTAGCAAATCAGTGGGAATACACTGAGAGCTGAATCAGGATTTCATGAGTAGCGACGAATATGACTGAAAATTCTACACCATGGTTACTTAGATTGCAAATCCATTCCACTATACTCAAATTATTGAATTTGTGTAGCTGCTAGTTTGCACAATTACACAATCTTATTCTAATTCGCTCTTGGAGTCAGCTTACTCTAGATTGTTATAATAGAAAGTACATCAAACACAACCATAAATATATTATATCCTAATGAGTAATTAAGCTGTTTCACGCTAGATACAAGAACAATTCAATATGACAAATACCGTGGCCCTTGCTAAAGTTAAATCGCACATCCAAGTATCGTATTAAGGGTTGAGCAATCATATTGCTCGTTCCTAGACACTCGAAGACCATCTGGAAAACAAAACCCTACGCTCCCAAGCTAGATATTATACTCTAGAGTTTGCAACCTTTACATCCCCACCCACGACCTGACCAACGCAGCCACGCTTGGAATGGCTCCTAGCACCACCATCCCCACCCCAAAAAGCACAAACGAAATTGAACTCATTGCGGCGGCCCTGGGGTCCACCGTCATCAACCATGCGGTGGCAACTGCCCCGCAGTTGGTCCCCAACGTGATCCCACGCGTAACATAGTCGTCCTTGCCGATTCGAATGGCTTTCATAAAGAGCGGACCCGTGAGCACACCGATAATCCCAGATAGAATTGTCGTGACCGCCATCAACGGAATCGAACCGTCCAAGGAGGTCACGAGCGGCGTCCCCAAGGCTAGCGTTACAGATCTCCCGGTAAAGGCAAGCGAACGGGCGGGCGAAATGCCCAACTGGTAGCACAACGGAGGGTAGGCAAAGAATGAGCCACAGATGGTGATCACCAACGGAGGGATCAAGATCACTGCGTGGCGACGCAAGTCCCCGCGATACGTGAACATTGGCACCGAAAGTGCCACAATCGACACATCCATCAAGGAGGTGAGAACATCGCCCGCGCCTGGAAGCTTACCGGAGAACGATTGGGGATTGAACAAGTACAAGTAGTTTCTGCCCGTCTTGTACATCTTGATGGTTTCGATAAACGAATGGTGGTGGGGTTTGGGAGTCATAAGCGACAATATGTAAAACACAAGGAGACAGCAGCTGATGGATAGAAGGATAGGGTGGACAAACTGACGGAATCGGGGGGGCGGAAGGAGGGCCGCAAAAAAGAAAAGCACTCCTGTGGCAAGCTGGATGGGCATGGCATAGTCCAAGACATAATAAATTGGAATTCCAATGAGGAAAAGAAATCCATATACAAACCAGTCAAAGTGTGCAGTGATAAAGGTGGCCACAAGCTTGGTTGTGTCGGAAGAATTACGGTAATGCTTCTGTTGCATGTCCAAGTATGTTTCACGCTCACAAATGCCACTTGAGGTGTTTTGATCGAGTCCCACCCCAGGATTACGCGGGTTTGATGAATTTGCGGTTTTTGGAGGGGGGAGCAAGTCTGTGGTTGAATCCGCTGGTGTCTCGTCTACGCTAGGGATAAAGAGGTTGGAGGAGCTGTCCAACTCTGGGCTTGTCCGACCACTCTCGGTCTCACTTCCGAGAGGCAACTCGTCTAGCGGAACGTCATCCGGTCGATGCAACTCTTCGGCTCTGACCACACCGTCTTTCCTGCTTCTTCCGGTTAATCTCTGGAGCCCTACGAGCGTGTAAGCGCAAACGATACTCATGACGAGGTAGCCAAACACAAACACGCCGGCAATGGTGAGTGCTTCTTTGACAGATACCTTATCGCTGAGCGGAAGCGTGATAAAGCTGGGGGTGAAGAAGATGTTGATCCAGCGGAGCGCCCAGCCAGCGGGGACGTCAAGAAGCTTGAGGTACTTGGCTGTGCGCTGTTTGCCCAAAAAGCGTGACGAAAAACAGAGCCCTGTAAAATGGATAAGGAGCGCGAGGACCGAGGCCGGGAAGACAAAATGAATCACCGAGGTTAAAAGCTGGTGAATCCCATAGAGAATGGCAAGAATTGCAATCACACCGAGCGGAACATAGACGTAACTGTAGAGGATGTGGGGAAGCGAGAGAGAAACCCCGAGGTGGATCCCCCATAGGATCTCTTTGGGTTGCCAGGATCGAGGCATTGGAGGACGTGACAGATAGTATCTTGAAGAATTGTAAGCAAATTGAGGTGTGTGTAGATAAGCTAATGAATAGCTGGTTTTGAGCGCGGGCAGTGATAAACGGCTGAGCGGAGATGTCGATCGAGGTGGGTGGCCATGACGTATGAGGCTTGAACGACTGGGCGGCCTCCAGTAAAGCTTTGTCTGTTGTGTGAGCCCAATTCAATTCAATCGAGCCTGGATCATCCGATCAGTTTTGGTTGGTCGGATTATTATGCCTCAATTACTCTATACTACAGTCTTTACTTTCATGGAAGGTTGCCTAGGAACTACGCTCATATCTAGGATAGCAAACCCGGTGACGTCACCGGAAATTATTCAATGTTCATATCTTCGATACCCCAAAAAACTAAACACGCAAACTTCATACAAACTTCACACAAACTTCACGCTTTGTGCCGGAAGATGCTGATCTGGCTAAAAATGTGCAACGCATGGTAATACTCATTTGTAGCATCGGCCAACTGCCGAGTGACACTTCCGTCTATGTTTACCGCCTTCAAGTATGTCTCCAAGCCCTCCGGTTCAAACAAGGCTGAGCCGTTTTTTGCGTCTGCCAACCTTCTCTGCTCCAAGTAGTTTCCCACTACCTCACGGTACTGGAAAAACTCTTCGGTGTAGTTCTTGAACCGCTGGGAGTAGCTCTCAAACTCCGAAATTGATGGGGCACTGAGAACCGCTGGCACGGTGGGAATCGGATAGTGCAAGATCTCGCGTGTGGCCGAGTGCTCGTCAAACACCGAAAATGGCGATTTCTGCGGGCCGAACGGGTTAGTTGGCGGTTTGTGCTGCGGTCTCGGTATCTGGAACGAAATACCGGGGCGCGTATTCACTGGGGCGGATAACAATTCAGCCTTGCCGCTTCCAGCTTGTACAAACTCTGGTTTGTTCAGACCAGGGCGCTGCTTCGGCCGCTCCGGTCCCCCGAGAGAGGCACCGACATCGTGCATGTCGAAGTTACCGTCGGTTTGGGTAAACGGCGGAACCTTCATGTCGAAAGTAAACGCAGTATCTCGCATTTTAGGAGCCACGTCTTCCATCTCCGCGTCGGGAACCTCTTCCATATGCACACCTTTCTTAGGACCCAGTGTTGATGCCGGCGTTTGCGATTTCTGGGTCTCTTCGGTCTCTGTTTCGTCCTCCACCACGATTGGCTCGGCCTTCAGCTCGGCTTCTATGTGTGAGCGGTTAGCCCTCCGACTTTTGGTTGGTGGTCTGGCAGCAGGCCCGGTGGCCCTCGGTGGCGACTGGACTCTTCGTCTGGCGTCTTTTCGCAGCTTCATGGGACGGGCGTGGAAGATAGAGGCCGCGGTCGGCTTCGCAGCGCCAAACCCACCAGAGTTTTTGATGGTGAAGTCTCCTGGTATCAGATGGCTCTGGCTAAACTTGGCAAACGCAAACTGCGGAGCCTTTGGCGGTTCTTTGGAACTCTCGCTGTTTGGCGCGTCATCAGACTTTTCTTCTTCATTGGCACTTAGAAGCTCCGACTCGTCATCAAAGTCGTCTGCATCTTCGAACTCATCTAAGGTCGTATCTGGTTGGTCATCCTCTTCATCGGGGTCGACCACAATCGGATCGTCCGGGTCGTTACCTGGGCTCTCATGGGGCGAGGAAGATGCCATGCTGGTAGTATCGCTTTTTGGAGAGCTAGCAGGTTTGGCGCTACTCTTGCTTCTGGTGGTTCTGGTGGTTGCCTCTTGCTTCACCTCCTTCACGTTTGATGGGGAGGCCTTTGGGTCAGTCTTGGAACCAGGTTTATCAATTGGAGAGCTAGTTGTGGCTGGTCGTTCTACCGGGGTTTTCTCGCCTGACTGAAACGCGTATCCGGTCTTGGACCTTGTCCATTTATCATCGTTTGTCGACTTCATTTTTTGAACTTTGGGAGACGAAACAGACGCCTTGGGCGGGTTTTCCTTCTCCTCGGACCTAACGTTGTTTGTGGCATAGAACTGTTGGTAGGCTGACTTCTGTTGCTTGGGCACTTCGTAGAACTTTTGCTGAAAATTCCTCTGGTGCTGTTGCTGAAACTCTTGTTTTTTCTGGGCGTGGTGTTGCTGTCTCTGTTGGAACTCCTGCTCTGTTTGCCGCTTCTCCTCCTGCCGAGCTTTAAAGTATGCCTGGTCAAACGGATCTTGCCTGGCGTACAGATCCTGTCTGGCCCCGGCATACGGATTGTACGGATTTTCATAGTGATACCGCTGCCGTTGTGGGTATCCGTAACCATACCCCGTGGATTGCTGGGGGTTAGGCGGGCGTGGGAACGGATTCTGTGGGGTAGGCTGTGACTGTTTCATGTTGATGTCGTAGGCTTTTTTTTTCACCTTGTCACTGAGAACAGCGTATGCCTCCGCACCTTCCTTGAACCTGGCGTCGGCCAGTTCTGGGTTCCCGACGTTTTTGTCCGGGTGGTGCCGCAATGCAAACTTCCGGTACGCCTTCTTGATCTCAGCGTCTCCAGCAAGTGACAGTACCCCTAGTACCTCATAGTGGGTAGGCATGATGTGTGACAGTTCAGGGGTGAGATAAGGGGGTGTTCAGGGCTGGAGTTACCGTGTATGGCGTAATTATCGCTAGATAGGGGTTCCTTATCGCCACTATTTACATTTCGATTTTGCTATGCACACGATTTACAGGTACGAAAAAAATTCACGTGGTTCAACTTAAAGTCATTGGTATGTACACGATCCATATAACGACGGAAATTGATTCGGAGTGGGTTTTCAAGTCCCAAAAATGGCAAATTTTTTAAACGGAATAACATGCAAGCAAAATGAAATCGATGAACTTATTCTCAACTTATACTGGCCGTACTGTGGCTGTATACTGGTAGCACGCACCGGGCTCTGGCGGGTACATAGGTTCTGTGCGTGTGAATAAAAGACTGTAATATTTCCACTTTGTAGGGTATCTCCAAAGATCCTTAATCGTTATTGAATTGAGTCAATTGGCCATAAATCTGGGAGTTTGTATAAAAGTTATACGATATATGGAGACCCCACCGTATGCCCATCCATTACCAGTTCATGCATATGCGGCCGCTTAATGAATTCTCGTCGTGTAGCTAAAGTTGGATACGCGGCCTATGGCCATGCCACCTGGACCAGCAATACATGGCCCGCTAAGACCGTATAAATAGCACCCCATATGATAATCCCAAAATTACCGCTAAAAGCTGTAAACCACCGGATGATATCAGTATCTTTCAGGACAAATGGCTACGTGGCTGATCAGTATGAAATTCGGAGTTAAATTATCCCATTTGACCTTCAAACATGTTATTAAATATCACATTTGCTTCCACATCCAGAATCTCCGCACATATCACTCCGGTTAAACTTTACAAGAATAGCTAATGGTTATATTAGGCAGCGCACTCCCGAGGGATGTAACGAAATGCAGGGAATTAATACATAAAACAGAGAAACAAAGATAAGAAATCAAAAAAGGAAGCTGGCAAATAAGAAAAAAAAATCGTGGGTATACAGGGGAAAACGTAAAGGAATAGTACAGGCGTGGAAAGGGAGGTGGAAAGAGGGGATAGACGATGACACCTCCACGGAATGCAAATTAACAAATGGAAAAAAGATGAAGACAGATCCTTCAAATGCAAAATGGAGACTAGAACTCCTCAAACAAGTTGTCGTAGGGGTCATCGACACCTTCAATGCCGTAATCGAGCTCAGCCTCGGGGTACCGGTCAAACTGACTCGTGTCGCCACAGCCACTCTGGATGGGAGGCTCGTAGGGAGTTTCAATATCACGGTTATGCAACCGGTCCCAGATGACCTCGTCAAACCATTCGTGTTGCTTGACATCGTCCGTGCCGTTCTGCAAGTTGCCGAGCCGGTTGGACAAGTCTTTGGTAATCAACTTCTGGAGCAAATCGACGACGTCTGACCCGAGATAGTCAGGGTACGTGACCTGGGCCTGGAGGATGTTTTCGTACGTCTTCATGGGGTTGGAGTCGAAGAACGGAGTAAAGCCAGTGAGCATCTCGAAGATCAAGATTCCAAATGACCACCAGTCCACAGACTTGTTGTAGGGCTTGGTCGCTACGACCTCCGGTGCGATGTAGTCTGGGGTCCCACACAAGGTGTAGGTGACGTCGGGAACCTCTTTGGCGAACCCAAAGTCGGTCAACTTGATATGTCCATTCTTATCGAGCAAAATATTCTCCGGCTTCAAGTCTCGGTAAATGATGTTGTGGTTGTGCAAGTATTCCAACGCTAGACACACCTCGGCTGCGTAGAACTTGGCCACGGGGTTGGGGAACTTGGACGACTTGCGCAACAAAGAAAAGAGCTCACCACCTTCAATGTAGTCCATGATCATGAAAACTGTCTTGCAGTCCTGGAACGTGCCCCACATGCGAATCACAAACGCCAGGTCCACGAGCTTCAACATTTTGCGCTCGTCGTTGGTGTGCTCCACCTGCTTCATCTTCACGACCTGCGACTTGCGCAACGCCTTCATCGCATAAAAACGCCCGTTGTGCACCGAGCGCACCAAATGCACACGGCCGAACGAGCCCGTGCCGAGGGTTCGTAAGATCTGAAAGTCTTTGAGCGAGTATTTCCCCTTGGATGTGGTCGACTTATGGAGCAAGCCTTGCGACTCGTCAACCCCGCGCGCATACTGAAGCTGTTGCTGCTCAAGCTGGAGCTGTTGCTGCCGCTGTTGCTGGTTGATCTGCTGTTGGTGCTGCAATTCGAGTGATGGCGGCAGCTGGTGCTGGGGAATCGGCTGATGCTGTTCGAGCGACTGCAGAGTGGGCGACGAGAGCGCCGTTATCGGCAGGGAAATGTGTGGGTCCAGATTCATCGGAAGGTTTTCTCGGTGTGGCGAGACGTATGGCATAAAAAGAAAGATGGTCCAGGGTTGAATAAAAGCTGACGGCTATCAGAGATGGGGGAGAGCGTTAGAGTAAGATTGCTCTCGGAATAAGCACACTGATTAACGTTGGTAGCTCTCACTGGGGTTGCTCGCTGGTTAAAATACTTGCGTGGCTTTCGATGGAAACAATGAACGGCAGAGTATGTTAAAATGAGAAAAGCACGCTGCGTGGACTCTTAATGTCTGGGCTCCGGAACGTGCATTCAGTTGTAGTTCCAAGTTAAAATTCGAGGAAAAAGAAAGAGCCAAAAAAGAAACGGGGATGAAAAAGAAACGCGTTCATTCAAGGTCCTGCACGCTTGCCGCTGCTTGTTACAGGAGAGTAAGCCTATGGTGTCTCTGGGGGGGGGGGGGCAATGGCAGTAGTGGACTGCATCTAGGTGTCGATGCGCTGGCGTCATACTGCAAAACCACCGTTTTGGTCTGGCCTGGCACGTCCTGGGGCAGAGTATACAAGGGCAACGGCGGGGTCAGAGGTGGCGATTGTGCACGGTGATTAGAGACGCTGGTGAAAGTTAACGCAAGGTGGGGATCACCACAAGGCGTCCAGGCACACTAGCTACTGGTGACGTTTCCGTAGGTGCATACAGGTTTCCGCCGGTTGGGACTACATGATGAAATACGGCAAATATAACTAAAGTGCTTGTCACTTGAGCTGCAGTAATTAATTTACCAGACTGGGGTGACTGTTTCCCGGGCTAGAAGTTACTACAAATTAGCCTATGCTATGTCAAATAAGCATTTTTGTAGGACCGCCATAACCGTATCTAACATTATCTCGTAAAATATAGGAATTTGGTGACGGATGCCAGACAGCTGAGAAGTTTACACCGATCTAACTCATTCTGTGAGTGTTTTAGATCCCTATTGTTTTTATTTAAACAATGGGGTCTCCTACTATAGTGGAATATTGGATTGGCCATGGTTTTATTACCTCCACCAATACATTTCCGGGGGGGAAACCTGTGCTCCCGTTGTGTAACGTAGGGAGCTCATCGATTCCTTTATCTCTTTTTTCAGAGGTATTCTAAAGTTCTGAAACAGCCGATATCCTAATCTGGATTAGCGGACCGCGGTTACCGGAAAGATAGTGTTACTCAGGTATTCAGACTTTCGCCGAAAGCATCTGGGCCTTCAAGGTTACTTAGTGCCGATGTAGGTCCATAGTCGGGGTAGCTGTGCACGTCTGCATGTCAGAGATGCCATAGTGGATACGTCGTCTGATTTACCAGAAAGCTGGTTCTGGACAGGTAGGTGCTCCACCGAAGATTAGGCAGATTTGCCTCCACCCGGCTTGACGACGCTACCGCAGATCTCGTCTGAAAACACCCCTTGTATAAAGGCTTGAAAAGTGAAACAGGGAAAAACACATCTGCCTGTTAAGCTTTCTTCTCCCCCGGGTAGTCATAAAGATTTGTTTCATAAGGTATTTAAGATATAACAACAACGCTAAGCCATAAATAAAAACAAGCTCTTTTTTAAAAAAACTCGTGCGATAGTGCAATCCTTCATTTACATGTCTGTCCTTTAGTTATAGCTACCATAAAAGATCCATTTATACTGAAGTAGTCGCAGTTGAGCGTAGTTTCGACTTTCCTGACTAACGTGGGAAAATCTGGAAAATCCGGGGCGGCCTGGCTCGAAAACATATCCGATACAGTACTTCCGCCTTATGCGTGCAGATATGGTGACCGTATTTTGAAGCTTATCCTGCTAGCCCCCCATTCCCTTGTTTCCACAGATACGCCTTTTACGAGCCAGGGCGTGAACGTTTCCAAGACCGTTTCGCTGTACGTTGTCCTGATGAGCCGCACTGTTAAGCCTCAAGCCCAAGGTCGTGTCGCTACAGAAAATCATGGGTTGTTAATTATGGCCGATTTGGGAAGCCGAGATTCCAACCGAAAAGGGCTCTCTGGTAATTCCCGATAGAGCTATTTGTACCTCGAATATCGTTAAAATGGGTTCCAGTTCTTCCAAGCCGTCTCGTACATTGGCCAAGACTGTGGGAGAGGTTGCCCGTAATACTTCCAAACCCATAATTAGATCACAGCCGAACCTCCTTCAGCCAGTGAAACAACCGCCCCAAGCGACTGCTCCTGCCACAAGATCGTTTGATGAGCCAACTAATGCCAAACTTCAATCATCTGAGGATATCAACTCCATAAAGAACGCCCATATTCCAGAAGCCCCGGTGGATACACGTTTCAATAAGAGTGCCATGGCCATGGGGATGCTCAGCGTGCAAATGGCTCATTTAAAGATCAATCCCGATAACCCAGCGTACCAGATGGCCGTAAACAGACAGCGCCTTCTTGCCTTGGCGAAAGAACAGGCAGATGAAGACGCTCCCCGCACAATGGTGACCGCTAATGAGTTGGGCCAGATCGTGGAAGATCTCAGCGAAGGTGTAGTTCCGCAGGAGCACTTGATGAAGCAGTACAACGTTTCCGCCGAAATCTTCACAAAGCTCAACCCGAGATTCAAGCTTGCCCAGACCGACTTCAGATCGATGGATGAGTCCAAGGACGAGACCGAAGACTCCGAGTGGGAGGGGATCGGTATTGATGCAGCGATCGACCACGAAAAGCACTACCTGTTCAAGGAGGACCAGCAAAAGTGGTTGGAGATGAAGAAGAAGCGATTGGCTGCCTACAATGCCGTGTTCAACCCGGAGCTCTTCCGATAGGAAACGGGCTTCTTGTATATACTTAACGAGCTCATTCATCAGGAGATTTTGGACCATTCAGGGGGGATTTGTCATAGACGTATCTACGTATTTGTAGGAGTTTTCTATCTGATAACATGTTTACGCCGGGACTCTTTCCCAAAAACGAATCGCAAGCCACTAGGTAAGACTTTCCTGGAGGCTTGTAGAACTTGAACGGTGATAATCCATTTACAATCCCGTATTCAATATATTCAGTTCAAGATGGGTGCCCCCTTGGACTAATCGCTCAAACCTGGAGCGTTGGGATATTTCTACGTCTTACACATTTGTTTCAAGTCTAAGCCTTCAATAACACCCCTGAAATGAGACTACGATTACGTTTTGATGATTTTTTTTTGTAAATAAATAGGGGGTATAACAGAGTAAGTAGAGTATCGCGAGCGTTTAGATACCCTCCCTTAATTCGACATACCGCAAGTACGCATCCTTGGTTTTGATTCGCCACGTCTTCCCCCACTTCAAAAACGGAATGATTAAACAGATGACGGCAAAGTTAACCACTGCCAAGGCAATGTAACTTTTTTCTGTGCCGGCACTATCCAACCACAATGAGCAAACAAACGTAAAAATGCATGCCGTGGTGTTGTTAATGATAGCCACTCCCACCATGCCCTCCAAGACTAATTCTGGATACGCGTCCATCAAATAGGACATGGCCAAGTCACCACTGGCACCCCAACCAAACCCGATGAAACCCAACCCGACGTAAATAGCGGGCCAGGGAAACTCTCTACCGGTGCAGATCCCGAAGAGCAACAACCCCGTGGGGGAAACGACCAACGTGAGGAAGGACAACCACAAGCGGAACTCCGCTTCCTGCACACCGTTGTTGCGCTTGGCAAGCCACAATGTGTGGTAGTCAGAGAGCACACCGGCATATAAGCACCCGATACACGCACCTATAAGGGTCGGGATGTTCATGAGGGCCACCCCGGTCTCGCTCAAGTTCCACGGCTCGTCGTAAAATTTAGAGTCCTGGGTTGTGAGATAAAAGGATAAGAGCAAGTCCTGGGTCCCCCAGAGCAAACCCGAAAGCCAGACCGCTGGAAAGGTGAAGATTTTGAGATTCATAACAAAATAACGCCAGTACTGTTTAAACCCGTACCCCTTTAAATTAGTAGCCTTAGTGATCAACCGGATGCGTTTCCGGTACGGAAGTAAGGGTTCAGAGGAGCCGTCACCGTTGGTTATGGTACACCTTTCCATATCAGAAACATCGGGCTCGTCTTCCAGTCCTTTGGTGTCGTCTACTTGCACATCCACTTGTGGGTAGTCACTTTCTCCCGCGAGCGTGTACAACTTGCGGTCGAAGTAGGTTTCCTCCAAGCCAAAGATGAGCACAATCAATGAGCCACCACATATGATAACGGCCCACCAGCCGACCCACCTGAAGCCCTGGGAGCTACTGATCAAGTGGGCGAACAATGGCCCCAAGAAGGTCCCGATCGAAGTGGCCAAGATATATACCGTCAACACTGACCCCAACTGGTGCTGGAAGAAAATATCCGACAACAGCAACTGCACCTGCGCCTCGGCACATGCTTCAGAGACTCCCACGAACAACTGCGACCAGATCGTGTCTGCGGTCTTAGTGGAGGTGGCAAACCAGACGTTACCCAAAAGCCCGGAGAGGATGCAGATCAAGTAGGTGATTCTGCGGCCGTAGAGAGAGGAAAGTGGAGCAAACACAAGTGTGGCATAGCCAATCCCAAGGAAGAGCACCCCGGCCCCGGTGTTCATGGCGGCGTACGAGATTCCGTACACCTCGTTGAGGGAGGTCTGGGCCGCCAGCGCGTCGTTGGCGATGGCAGCGGTCAACCCGGTAATGTAACTGACCAATACGAAATGGCCTATTTTGCGCGTAGTGGACCAGTTCAACGGGTCGTTGGGTGATTCTGACGGCTGTGGAGAAAGTATGATCTCCTGCTTACCGTGCTTGACAGTTTTCAACCGCCGCAACCCCACCTGCGTGTTTCCATCGTTGGACAAGATGTTTATTGTCCCTGGGATGAAGTCATCCGTGTAGTGTTGGGCTCTAAAGTCGGTGGCCATGAAGAAGACGCGACAGTTGATACTTGGCTGATGCCGTGACAGTGAGTATGTGACCGAAAAGCCAGGACTACACTAAGGAAGCAGCTACGCTGTTATGCTACAGACGTGCGAACGAAATAGTTCGTAGTTACTGACAAGAGAGGGGAAGTGAGAATTTTTCTTATCGCGCCAGCTTACGGCCTAATGGCCCACTGAGTCTTGGCGTTTATGGACAGACAGAAGTCCAAGCAAGCCGCACCCTGATATTTCTGCGTGTGACGTTCGCGAAAGGAGTCTCGTTTCGGGAAGCTCGAGCCCTGCACAGTGATATGCGCCGAATGGAGACAGAGCCGCGAGAACAAGGTTTAATTTACCAGGGATTTGCGGCCGGGAGATGTCTTTTCCTGTATACCAGAGATTTTACTCGGGATTTACCGTTATAGCACTACAAATCTATATATTGTGTTTTGTACCATATCCGTACAGATAGCAGTGATAGTAACTGACTGGAGTGTTGGCATTTCCGGTTGTACCACAATCAATCACCAAGATGCTTGCGCCAAGGCTACGTAGGAGACATTGAACATCAGGTAAGGAATAGTTAATTCATCCAATAATTTGCAAGCGATGAGATATGAGTAAACGAAGTTTGTAATCGCTGCCAAAAACCAAGCTTTACGGCGCTTGTGGAAGGGCAGACACGGAATGAGAAGGAATTGTATAATCATTTGTACTTGGCACTTCATCTCTTCATTATATCCGTCCCAATTGGATTTGTCATTCAACCGTATATATAAATGACCACTCCTTTTACCCTGTTTTACTTCACCCGTATAAAGCAGCCTGGCATGGCTTCGAAGGTCCTTAGACATGACACCCTATGCCCGAATACTCGTCCTAACATCCGGTATGGCAACCCTTTTCGGTCCACCTATACGTGCATGTCAAATGTGTCGCTAAATAACACAAAATCATCTTCCGTGAGGTTATAGTAGTCGACGCTCATTGTGCTGTAGAAGTCGTTAATCATGCCCACCGTGGGCTCCGCAAAAAGCAAATCGTCAAAGGGCAAGAAAAAGTCGTTTGGGTGGGGTATTGGCACGGTCACTGGAGGCGGAATGGCTACCGGAACCGCAGCCGGAACCATTACCGGAGCCATCTTGGTGGACTCCCTTTCAATGTCAGGATTCAACCGTATCAAGTCGAGCAACTGCATGCACTTGTAATGGGCGATGCGGTTCCCGTTGTGCAGCAAATTTGTCAATATGTTAAAAACTTTTCCAAGGCTCTTGAGAAACTCATATTTGGAGATATCCACGGGGTATGCAGAAAAGTCAAACAGCTGGCCCATGATGAACCCCAACCCAATGCTAAACAAGTAATCGTGGTCCATAAACCCGTATGTAGTGATGAGTTTCCCCCGGTAGAGTGACTCGTAAAGCCGCAACGAGATGGAACAAGCTTCGAAGTTCATATGGATGATCTTCCAGACGTTGGGGTTGTCTAACGACCCCTTGGACCCTTTCTGTTTCTGCTCCTGTACCAAGTTGATTAACAAGGGGACGGTAGTGATGAAGATGCAGTGGCAGTAATTGGCATGCAAGGAGTATATAAATCGCCGGTTGCGGTCCAGCTCTGTATGGCTCTCATAGCTCCCCTGGCTAGTGAGACACGCGTCTAGCTTGAGGTTCTGGGGCAAAGCGTCGGCCCAGCGCACCAATTTAGACAAGATATTCAACATGGACAACGTGAAGCGCGGCAGACTGGACACGCCATTTGCCTGTGTGGTGCACTTTCGGCGATAGATCGTCTTGCAAATGTCCTCTGAGATGATTGCTAGCTGGATGTAACAGGGGTGAATCTCAGACTTGTAAAGCTCTTGTTTTTGTGAAGGGGCCTGGTTTACGGAGGGCATTGGGGTGGCGATTTCCTCAGCACTCAAGAGCAACGGCTGTCCCACGCGCAAGCTGATGGTTCGGTTCAACGAATACGCGGCCCAGAACAACCGTCGGTCTTCTTGACTCGTCTCCAGCGGCGCTACGTGCAAGTTCATGTTTATCGTCATCTGTAAGGCCTGGAGACTGAAGTTCGAGGAGGCAATATTTTTGTTGATCACCCGGAGGTATATAGCAGCTAGTGTCAAAGCTTCCACTACCAACACCGACTGAGTCCCGAGCTCGTCTTCCTCTATGATAAACGCCGGGAGAAGCGCAACTGCCTGCTTGAAGTAGGCGAATCCCGGCGGTACTTTGTCGACTAGTGGTGGTTCTAGGCGTACATTGCGTGGTGAAACACAGTAGGCCGGCTCATACAACTCGCCAAGCGCCACGATCATGCAACACTTGGCCATAAAGGCGTCTGGGGCGAAGTAGCGCCACTTCCCCTCAAACTCACAGAACGACGCAACCTGGTTGATCAACGCAAGCGGCTCGAGCGACAAGTAGCCACAGTTGAGAAACTGGAACACGTTGTTTACGTAATCGGAAAAGCGGTGGAACGTGACGGAGGCAAAAAGCTGGGCGAGGCCCGGTGATGGCACCAGCAGAAGCACATCGTTGTAGAGAGACTCGTCGGTGGAGCAGGACCGAACGGGCGAAGGTGGGTCGGACGGCGACTGTGAGAAGATCGCAAAGATGGCAGAATAGACCGCTTCCGAGGTACTCGCTTCCAAGTGAATGTCAAATTTGGTAGAGTCGCGCTTGGCTAGCCCACGGGTATCATCACATTTAGCGTCCTGTTTTGTGTCCGGCGCCCTCACGCCATCCTTTATCTCTGTGGGGTTCGCCTGTGAGGGCATTTGCGTGCCGTTCTCTCCTTTCTGCTTCTTCCCCACCTTTTCCTCGAGCTCCGTGATCCGCCGCTTCAAGCTCGTAATAAACGACTCCAGCACTGTCACTTTGCGGATATCTTCCACCTGGAAAATACACTCGCTGGCGTTCTGGATACAGTTGCGGCACGGGTTGGTTCCCGAGCACTTTGTCCGCCGCTTCCGGCACCGCGTGCAGCTGGGTTGTTAGTAGTCACTAGAGGGTGCTTGGGAGGAGTTACATACGCAGTGGGGACCCTCCGGTGGGAAGATTCCAGGGGAGATGACTTTTTTGACGATGTGGAGGCCGGTGAGGTCATGAGAACAGACGCAGCGTTGGTTGTTTCGACGGCTTAGTTAAGATATCGTCTGCCGGAGGTATGGTTAGGCGGGGTGTGAGTCAGCCTTATAGAGATTCCAAGACTTGGTGCTACGAGGTTCTTACACTTATCCATCAAGGCACTCAAAATGGCATGTGAGGCCGCCCATGTACCTCCGGTACAAGGTTGTAAAAGCCTGGCCTAAAATCTTATCCAGACGACCGGCACGCATGCAGCCCCAGGTCAGCACTAACTATCAGATCCGATACTCCGAAGAATAAGCCATAAACCAAAGCCTGGGGGTCCCTTCAGGTGAGGTGAATATTCTCAAAGGTCTCCCCTATCACAACGTGAGTATTCATGGTGTCTACTGTTTTGTGGTGCGTCTTATACTCATGGTTTGTAGTGTTTCGGATATTTACGAACAGACTCTACATGAGATCTACACTGGGTCATTTCTCAAATATGCAGACCTTTGTCCTATGGAAAACTAAATCTGGATATTATAATTGTTAATACATGTCTGGCGGTGGAGAGGCTCCGTATCGAACACATGTCGGGATAGCTTCGATCAGAGTAGCGGTTCTTGTAATAGTGATCTGTCATTGTTGTATCTAGTAGGATACTCCAGTAAAATCGGTCAAGAATCATCACTAAAACTGACCCGTGTGTTTGAATCTTGAGTTTTTTTAGTAACTGTACATACACTTTGGCAGTTATTGACTTCCATAAGTCATTCCGGATTAAGAGTAGAGTGACCGTTAACACATTTACGGATACGCATTTTATATGTGTGACGTTGGGTAAATTTTTCACTACATCCGGGTAACACCCAGTGAAGCCGCCATACATCTGTTAGGGCTGCACGTAAGCTTATCTCTGTAAGCACGTGCGCGCACCAATAGTCCAGTACCCAGCACCCCAGTTACCTATTGTACCCTGTTCCTGTCTACATGCTGAATTTTATCCGACGGAGATCTAGGAACATATCCCATGCTGGCATCTAGCACGGCGTTGTTAGGTCCTCGGGGCACTAATCTAAAATATGTGCCATGGCAGTCTTAATATAGCCATCTACACTGTCTGGAGCTTCCCGGCTTTATACTCCTCAGGTTGGTCCAGACACTCTAACTATGGCTATCCCTGTACCTTCCACAGTATGGCGTACGACCTGATCGAAAGACTTCGAATGGCATTTTAATTGGCGACTCCAGCTCCTTACGTCATACGTATGCGCGTAGCACGCTAAATTCGCAAGCATACATTTCCTATTCGGGCAACTGCTGCTGATTGCTTCGCTGCCGTGACGCGTGCGATAGCTTTTTCGGTGCAGCCTCCCACCCCCCCTCCGCGCAAGATTGCGGCCACAAGGTGCTTGGGTGCCGGCTTTCTCGAACAGCGCCCATAGTAAACCCAAAAGGATTGGGACTGTGTGCAGGCCATGCATGGAGGGAGAAAGAACGAGCAACCAACACGTCGCCCCTTCCATTTTCCAGCCGGCTGGTAGCTCCCACGCTATTTAGCCACCGATTTTTCTTCTTCTCTTGCCATTGCTCCTCTCTCTTCCCATCATCAATTACACAATGCACAGAACCTACTCCTTAAGATCGGCGAGAGCCCCTACCGCTGCCCAGTTGCAGTCTCCGCCACCACCAACCTCCTCCACCAGGTCAGGTGCCAACAAGTTCTTCGGTAAGGGCTCCATCACCGGGTCCATCCGCAGAAACGTCGCTGCCAACTCGGGCCCAGAGTTGTCCCGTAAGTTGGCCGCATTGATCAAGCTTGAGAAGAACGTCATGAGAGCCATTGAAATTGGCTACTCCGAGCGTCGTGAGGTTGCCAAGCAGTTGTCCCTCTGGGGTGAAGACAACGATGACGATGTGTCCGACATCACTGACAAGTTGGGGGTTTTGATCTACGAGATCTCCGAGTTGGAATCCCAGTTCATTGACCGCTACGACCAGTACCGTATCACCATCAAGTCCATCAGAGACATTGAGGCCTCTGTCCAGCCTTCCCGTGACAGAAAGTACAAGATTACCGACAAGATTGCCTATTTGAAGTACAAGGACCCTCAGTCCCCAAAGATCTCTGTCTTGGAACAGGAGTTAGTTAGAGCCGAGGCCGAGTCCCTTGTGGCCGAGGCCCAGTTGTCCAACATCACCAGGGAGAAGTTGAAGATTGCCTTCAACTACCAGTTTGACTCCATGAGAGAACACTCTGAAAAGATTGCCTTGATCGCCGGGTACGGTAAGGCGTTGTTGGAATTGTTGTCCACCGACCCAATCACCCCAGGTGAGACCAGACCAGCCTATGATGGTTACGAGGCCTCCAAGCAGATTATCATTGACGCCGAAAACGCCTTGGCCTCCTGGACCTTTGACTCTGCGCAGGTTAAGCCATCTTTGAGCTTAGTGGCCAACGACAAGTACGATGAGGACGACTTGGTGCACGAAACCGAGCAGTTGGGTGTCACCGAGCAGGAGTGGGCCGAGGAAGAGCACTACGAAGACGAGTCCAAGCAGCAGGTTTCTGCCTAAATGGTTTCTTTCTGTGGCCTGATACTGTGTGTTGGCTGAAGAAAAGTTCTGTTTCTGTTTTGTCGCGTTTGACATTTATTGTGTTTTATAATACGATTGTGTGTATTAGTTTTTGTTTCCGAACTTTGCCTTTCCGTTATAATCTAATTTTAGTACGAACCAAGTGTAGTGGCCTAGCCTAAGTTTATTTAACCGAAGCATTCAGGCTAACCGGTCATGACAGTGTAAAGGTTGAGGCGATAGATGTAATAGTGGGTAGTCACGATGAATGATCTGTATCAACATAGTTTTTGATGCTGGTCTTGAGCGATTGAAAAAGCGGGAACACTCCAAAAAATGGTTTGAAATGCCCATTTTCTATCCAAGCCCATGATACAGAGCTTCCCGGTCAGCCCATACGAACATACAGTATAAATCTTGAAATAAAATATATTGTGTTTTACCTCATCCTTATGCTTCTAACGTTACAATTCTTTCCCATCACGAAATTATAGGGTGTGGCAATGAGCTCTGGTGGCGAACGAATAGATGCTAGCACGGGTGATATGGTCGGTATAGGCTACCCTTATTAGCATTTTCCTCTCTGGCATCTTACTGTTGGGGTTAAAAAATATATATATCTAGAACCTCAAACCCTATCACGGTAGGCGCTTCTATAATTGGAAATAAGTTTCCTTACCGTTCGAGATACGCTGAGGGCTGTTTTTTTGGCCCACCTAGTGCTGGCACGCTTACATCAAATGTTTCAGTCCTCCTACCGTAGTGCGATTACTAAGACTCAATCTCATTAGATTCATGACCAATCACACATCTAAAGAACTGAAATTTGGTATACTCGACTTGGGTTATATCCCTAGCTAGGTGAAGTGCGATTTGCGCCTACCTGATCAGCCTCCCCTACTCATAGTTTCTGTTTGTACATCACCATATATCCACCTCTAAGACGCATACTCAGTAATCCTGGTCCTAGAGGCCCAGACCAGAAAATATAGATTTATATGCCGTTTCGAGATTTCGCTGCAAAGACCCTTGACGTCTATTTTTGTTTTTATCAAAAGTCAACCCGCGATTTCATTACCTACGTCACCCAAGCAGTGCAGCCCTCACAATAGACTTCGCCACGGCACGACCCCATTCTCTAAAGACTTGGCCTAACGGCTGACGCGAGATCAAAACAAAGAGTGGCACCGGAAATACCGCAATTTTATCAAACCCCCCAAACTATATCCATCAATATTGTTATCCATGACTACTTCCCCTTTTTCACTAGGTGACGACCTGGAGCTCTTAGTGTCGCTTAACCGCCATGAGCCGTTCGCGTTCAAGATCCGATCCCCGGAGTTTGAGGCGCGGATGCAGAGTGTCGCTGAAGATGTCACGCTCAATAGCACGGAATCCGGTGGACGCCTAGAGTGCGATGCCGCTGAAGTGGAGGATCGCATAGACAGAATATTTGCCGAATATACCCAATTCGTAGAGGAAGGCAACGTGATCACGGCGGAGGATGTTGCCACGGGAAAGGCAGTTGCTGTATGGAAGGCCATCGTTTTCATGGTGCTAAAACAAAAGGAGGGCATTGAAGCGAGTGATTTAAAGGAGGTTAATGGGCCCAAAGTGTCGCTGAAAGCCAATACTCAGTCAAGGCCTCGAAGCTCTCTTCCTAGCCAGGCTGCTCTAACAACAAGTTTTCTTGCTGTTGAGTCGGATTCTGAGCGCTCTGCGTATGAGAGTGGCGCCCAGCCGTACACAAATGACATATTGGGCTCGAGTGATGACGAGCCTCGCCAGATCCCGTCGCACGGCCCAGACCAGACAGACTTTGCTCCGATACCCTGGGACACCAACGAACCGCTTCCAAAAAAGTACAAGACGCCAAATGGGAAAAAACTGAAAAAGGAGAAAAGGGAGAAAAGGGAGAAAAAGGAGAAAAATGACAAAAAGGAAGAAAAGAAAAAGAATAAAGGAAAGAAAGGGAAGTCAAGACTTGTTTTAGACAAGAAGGCGGTCAAAAAAATCATCAAAAAGCAGAGCCGACTGAAGAAAATCAACAAGAAGTTGTGGAAGTTGTTTGAACTGTTGGTAGGCAATGCCCAGGCGCAGTTACGACTCGAAAGAAAGCATAGCCATGAACTCTCGAACCTGTTTGAGAAAGTGGTTGAGCAAAACAAATTATTGACCGGCTGGTTGTCTCAGGTTCAGGCTGAGGCCGAGACTTTACTATTGGAGCGTGTTGCATAAGCTAAGCTTATATTAATTGGCTTATTATATCCAACAGGTGACTTAGATCATGGTATGGGTCTGATTTTTTCGTGTGGGGGCTATCCAACGGTAAACTCACCCAGTTACATCTAGGATTAGATATGCGTATCAAGAGGCAGGAGAAGGTTTATTTTTAACGAAGTGATGCAGAGGGAAAGGACTCCGACGGTATGTCAACGTAGTTAACGGTTTGATATCTGCAACGGGCAAAATCTTCAGTATCTTAAGCCCGTTGATTTCCTTATTTTAGTTGTACAGGTCTAAGGGGATGAATCTTTTCGTGACGCACAGCATGGTATTGTATAGGTTTGCCCTCACCCTTATCAAAGACTGCATGACACTCCGAGTGCTGAACACCTAGTTTATCCAGCCAGAGTATCCAGACACTACCACCGTTACTTATCATAGCAAAAAGCTGTAACCGTTCATGTTGGTATTTAAATAGCGTATTTGTTATGGCAAAAGGCTATTGTTAGACCCGGTGTGATTCTCTAACCGATGTAAGAACCAAGTTTTCTCTGACCTAAACAGTGATTCGTTGTACTGCTCGTATGTCCAACCTTGCATACACCAACAGAATTGGTGTGTTTCGTAAACGGTTGGAATTATATAAATCATTATTTGTCTGCTTCCCGTAAATATATCCTATCAGAGCAGAGATGAATTCTCGTATATAACACACCGTCATCGTTCGGCAATATCACTTCAGCATTGATTAACCTCCTTACCCAATGATCATGCCTCCAAAACAATTTAATCTCTACGTCCCCAGGCGGTTGATGAAGTGCGGAAACGCAATCAAGTTCACCCAGGAACTGGCTAAACTGCTGGCCGTAAGATCTGCTGTCCGGGCTGCTAAAAGAATGCCCGCGGTCTCTGTAAGTAGCGAAGAAGCTACTAATCAGATCTCCGGTGCGGATTTACACCCTAATCACCTTGGGGCTATGTCAACGGTACCTTATATCAACGAATCAGACTTTGCCACAGATGAAGAAAAGTACCCCGCTTCGTTGTGCTCGTCGACCGCCGCGCTCCTTTCACAGGAAGCGGTCCTGTTTGAATGGTCCAACGACACTTTGGCGGAGCCATTCAAGGGTGATAAGGTTATCCAGTTTCACAAAGCAGCGGATATGGTTGATTACTACTATCTTCTTGATTTGGAAGACTGCTCGGTCTCTCTGGGGAAGTTCGAGCATGCAGATAAACAGATCCGTTAGCAAGAACCTGCGTGAGCATTACGGGAACAGAATTCATAAAGCATAATGCAATCACTTTAAAGATTATGTAATGAGACATATATATCATTGTAGAAATGCGGGATTACTGTAAGGTACAAGACGTTTATAATAGTTTGTTAGTTTAAATTAGGTCTATACACACAGTGATCATTGTGGTTGTATCTTTGGAATATTATATAAAATTCCTGCGGTCAGAATGACTCCATTTCTGACAAAACAAGGAACCGGTATTCACTGCCAGCCCATCTTTTGGTCAATACAAGTATCAGCGGGCTCTTTACCCCTTGTGGCAAGCTTTCGTTCGTTTGAGCTCACAGAGCTTACCAGTCGAAACATAGAGCGGATGGCGGGAGTCCTAATTATCAGTACAAGCCCTAGGCATATAGTGGCAGCTTTATTACCTACTATCTGGAGGGAAAAAAAAGCGAACAAATATTTGGATTTGGAAAATGCAATAAACAGAAATAAAAAGCGGGGCTCAAATGGTATGGAAAATGGTTGCATGGAGAAAGGAAGGAAAATAAACAGGGTGGGTAGTGACGGAGATCAGGGAGCGAAAGGAAATAGGTCGATGAAGAAGTCAAAGAGAGGGCAATGAATTAAATTCATGGAACCAAGTCAAGAAAACAAATGTCATGGAATCGAACTCATTAAATCGATAAACAGACCCCCAGAATATGAACAAACCCCAAAGCCTCATTGTCCGGAACTCAAGGCCTCACTGACAAGAACTCATGAAAAACAGGTGTGAGACCCCCTTGACCGAACGCACAAAGCGCGACTGATGGAAGAGCTCATGAAGACAGTACCCAACGTCAGTTTAGTGTACAGACGGACAAATCGTGATTACGCGTTCAACTGCGTGACATAGGCCTCCAACTTCTTCCATGACTGAATCTTCTCCTGTTCGTGGGCCTTGTTGGCCTCGAGGGAGTGCTGATAGGTGGCTAAGCAGTCGTCGTAGACAGCGGGGTTAGTGTCCATGAAGATCTTTAAGGCCTGATAGGCGAGCGAGTGAATGGTCCGGTTCCAACCGCTACCGGCAGACTCCATGAAGTACTCGTCCTGATAGTTATCAAAGAGCTGTTGCTGCTCCAACGCCCCGAGTGAGGCGTCGCGGTCAAGAGGCTCGCCCGGGACCGTGAGCTTATACAAGGACGGGAACAAGATTGGAAGGAGCTCGCGGGTATTCTCCGTGACAAGACTGAGAAAGTACTCGTTGTTCCAGTAGCACAAGACCTTCTCGCTGACCTGGAAATGCGGCGACCGCATGCAGCGCGCCAATTGCACGAACAAAGGCTCTTCAACGCGAACAAACTCGGACGGCTCCATGACCTCGAAGATGTCCTCCAACTCGTTGAGGAACATGACCTCCTTGGTGGAGTTTATCTTCGGCCAGTAACGAAGAAGGCCCATTATGACCTCCTCCGTCAACTGCGGGTCCTTCTCGAGAAACTGCACGATGCAGTACGCCAACTGCGGATGGTAGAGCGACAACGCCTTGACCTTGTGCATCGGGATGAGCACTCGGATAAGGAAGATCTTGTGCTCCTCCTTGAGCGGGAGCGCAAAGCCGTTAATAATCAGGCCTAAAATCTCCAACAACTCCGAGATCCCATTAAAGCGGTCGGTCTCGTAGACGAACTGAAGAAACACGTTGTTGATGGACTTACGGATAAACGACCGAAGCAGGAGGAACTTGCCATACACGCGGTGTAACGTCGTCTTGAGACACTCGCGCTCGCGCGGGTCCTCGCTGTCAAACAACTCCAAGAGGCGAAGGATGAAGTCGTGGTCGATGTACTTTTTCGCCACCGTGTGATTAAAGTCTGGCGACTCAAAAAACTTGAGAAACAATTCGTACACCAACTGCATGTGTGGCCACGCGAGCTCGTACACCGGTTCATCCTCGTCTGGGTCGTAGATGTCGCCAACTGGGTTCACCGGTGGCGGAATTGGCCGGAACAAATTCGTCTTGAACATTGCCACCACTGCCGCGTAGATCTCCTCGGGGTACGTGAACCGGTTTGTCGCGATAAACTCAAACAACTCCTGCAACGTGTTCTTCTTCAACTCCTTTCCCGCCGCGTCGTAGCTCATGTCGCTAAAGTCGAACATGATGCTGCACTGCTCGAGCTTCTGGAGGAAGAGCGCCACCTTGTCTTCTGGCGACACTTCTTCAAAGGCCGGAAGCCGCTCAAACTCACGCCCACTCGGCTCGAAGCGGAGCGACAGATGGCGCTTCGGCGGCGACTTGAGAAGGTCGATCTCCTTGGTCGGTGTTGGGAGCCGGTCGTTGAACAGGTGCGACGCCTTGTAATCGCCGTCGGTCGGTGTCCGTGGCGGTATCGGTGTCGTGGCAAGCGCTGCCGGCTTGATTGCCGACGGATTGAACACCACCGGCTGGGTACTGGGCGCGAGCGTGAGCGGTTTGGTGAGTTCGTCTGGCATGACTTCCGAATTGTTGTCCGGAGGCGTAATGTTCACCTGTGGCGTCGCCAGCGCCGGCTTCTTGGCCGGCAGGCCTGTGAAGAGGTTCAACACCGCGGCGGTTTTGGAGTCGGTGCTTTTGGCAGAAGGTGATCCTTGAGGCTGCTTGCCTACGGAGATGGGGCTAGGCGAGGGCGAAGGTGAGGGAGATTTCTTCGCGGGTTTTTCCTCCTTCTTTTTGGTCGTCGTGGATTTGCTTCTGGAGAGCTAATCTTGTTAGTACTGAATGAGAGTAGCCGGTAGGGCGGTACAAGTAAGACAGGCGGTAGACGTTGGGATAGCGGTGTATTGCTAGGCAGTAGCCTTTAGGGTACCTGCTATTTGCAAGGGCTACGCGATTGGAGCCTTGCTATGGTCTGGGTCTTTGATGTTCACATTTTGACGCTTGTTTTTGTTGGAGCTCGCTGATGCGCGCAATCTGCTTCGCAAGCTGTAACTTGCCATTTGCGCTCTGTGCTATCCGATTGCCACCACATGTCCCGGCCGATACATACTCTCTGTTTAAATCCCTTCATCATCTTGTCAGATGCTTATGGTCGGATATAGATACAGCGTGCTGTGTGCGCTGATGAATGTGTAGCGCTTGGTGCCTCGTGTTGATTTCTAGCGCTCGATACGGCCGTCGAGGCTATTTTGGGACATGTACGTCTGGGGCAGGCACGCCACACATCCTCTACGCTCCTCTACAAATATCTATTCGGAGATTGTATATTTATTGCCACCGTGCAAGGGAACTTTTAGCCAACTCCAAATATTAACGAACTTCATTGTAATGGATGGGGGAGGGACACTTGCCTTTATCTGGGACCGTGAATAACCGGGGGAGTTACAGGGCTCGTGACCGACAAGGGGTGGGGAAGCGAAAGATTACATTCACCTAAATAGTAGAGCTAGGATCATAACAGTGGCAGATAACAGATGGCAGACAGTAGAAGCCTAGTGATTTAGCTTTGTAAAAGACTGGTTAAAATATAGAGAGTCAACCACGTGTCAGGTCGGAGCTGTTTGGCTGTCAGAGGATGAATCTCGTGAGAGTTTAATAGCCAAGTGAAATTTGACGCATTATTAGTGTTTGTTTAGTTGCATTTACGTGAAATGTAACTCCGTGGCAAACGTTGAGGGACTCTGAAAGAGCATCATATCGGTCAATCTGACTCAATCGCCATGGCTTTGAGATAATTGATTGGTGATTGGTAAATTTCCTGCGGTGAACTTTTAGCAATCTTTGGAGACATGACTATCTGCGTTTACGTGCATCGACGCGCATGGGTGACGATCCGCTTTAGTTAGGCATGACTGGCATAGTCCTGGATGAAAAGGCTCAAGTAGTTCCGTCAAAAAAAAACCCCCAGCCGTCATTCCTACTCCTAGATGATGTCTTGTAGTTTGTTTATAAGTTAATTAATCGGTTCAAAAGAGACTGATGGTGGCGTGTGCATTAAGAAACAGTGTAGCCGCAATATATATAGCTAGCGCACGAGCTGTCCAGGTTGGCGCATCGGGGCTTTAAAGAGCTTCGAACGATACACCCCGAGTACCCAGGAGCGCAGGTTTATTCTAGAAGATGAGTGTGGGCTTGTAAGGAACAGAGTAGACTGAATTGTCGATGAACTACTGTCGCGTGTAAGAGGTTTATTTGGGGGAATCCACAGCACATAACCACATCGGTGCTATTACTGAGGGACTAACCTGTACGACATTGTCTCCACATACAACTTTCGTTCGTCTATTCAAGTAGCGTGTAGCCATGGCATTATCAAGCTACCCCTTTAGTGCACACAGGTGTCTAGATATTGAGGACCCTCCGAGCTGTCCCAGAGTTTTCTAATGTTTATCACTTGCATGCATTCCATAACCATTATTGTACACTAAACACTCCCGGCCTTATATTCTCTTAAAATGACCGGCACGGAGGACGGCGGCAAGGACCCCATCTCGGTGATCACCTTCTTGATGTACTCCGGTGGGGTCAAGTCGTACAAGACATTCAAGAGATATAAGTTATCGCGCTTCTCGTATGCGGACAAGGACTCGACGTCCTCGCTGGCTTCGGGAATCGGAGTCTTCTGTTGCTGTTTCTTAGAGACCGGGGCTGGAGTCTGGGCCACCGCCTTCTTCTGCTGGAGGAACTGCTCCAACGCGAAGCCGGTCTTGACAGGAGCATTCTTGCTAATCTTTACCAAGTCCTTCCAGTCAGCGGACTCATTGTTGGTGACGGAATCCAACTGGATCTTCTCCGAGAACTTTAACGACTCGGCACACACCAACACCGGCACATTGCGCTTGTTCGCACACATAGCGATAAGCGCGGTCCCCACGCGCGAGTATAAGCGCCCGTTGGACAACATGGCGTGCGCGCCCAAGAAGACGGTGTGCACCTTGTCCATGATGGTGGATATGGCGTTGATCAACACGTAGTGCACATTGATATTAGCCGTCGTGTTACTAGCAATCAACTCGCGGACCAACTTCTTCCCCTCAAACAACGGCCTAGAGTCCACCACAATAAGCGTGAACTTCTTGCCCTCCACGTTAGCGCAGTGCTCAAACAACTTGCACAACACATCCGAGAAGCCGTAAGTCAAAACCACAGACTCGTTAGAGATGTGTAATGAGGCATTATCGATGATTACTTGCTGCGTGATCACAATCTTCTCGTTGATGAACTCGTCGATCTGCTCACAGATCAACTTCTTGGCATCTACGTCGCTCATGCTGATGGAGATCACCGAGATCTGCTGTTTCAACCATCGGATCGCGTTCCCCATCGTCACCGACAACGGTCTGGAGTTCTTAAGGTAGTCGATCTGGTGCGAGAGATACGACGTCAAGTGGCGCTGCAACGTGGTGTTCTCTGGCGTCGTATAGTCGTGGATCAACACCTTGAACGCGTCCAACATCGCGAGCACGCGCGCGGTCGAGCCCACTACTCTGTAGTTCTGAAACTTCAAGAAGAGAGACAAGATCTCTGGGTGCACGATATTGGCAATTTCCGGGTTGAACTTCAAGGCTTTGGATTCCTTGCGGTCCAAGTGACTGAACAACGGCGGAATCTTTTTCGTAGAACCCGCGGGCTTGATCTGTGCCTGCGTGATTTGTTTCTTGACGGCAGTTTGGGTCTTGGCTTGTTGCTTCTCCTTAGAGGCAGCAGCAGCCGGGTTAATCGGTGCGATCCCGATGGACTCCTTTGTGGCAGCTCTCTTTGCCGCCTTCTCCTGCTTCTTGAGGTCCTTCAACTGCTTCCCGGTGAGCTCCCCAACCGGAGCCTCTGGTGCTGTAGCTTCACTCTTTGGCCCAGTCTTTGGCACCGTCTTTGGCACCGCCTTTGTTTCTTGTGGTTCGCTCATATGGGTGTTAAACAGGAATGTAATGAACTCATTCCAATGAGTAGCGTTAAAAAAAATATCCCGTGTAGCTGAAAAATTTGTGTGCGGGACACGCCCCCTGTTGATGCGCAATGAGTATTAGGAAACCTGGTGTGGTTGAGGCTGAAGACTGGCCTAAAAGGATTAAAGTATCGTTGATCTGACAGAGTTCTATCACAAAACGTATAAGAACAATAGGTCTTTAATAGAGCCACAGGGAAGTAACAGGTATTGTACGTGTGTCTCAACCAACTGACATATTCACTGTACTCTAAGAAATTCAGTGCAGGGCAGGATATGGAACGAAACTAATAAGGGCATAATTATTAGATCCAAGGGTTATTTGTTTGTTTAATGGTCGATTAAGAAACGGTGGGAATCGCCTAAACGTGGTATTTCTGGTATGCCTCAACCACCGAGACTGTAATTGTGCAAGGATGGCACTTTTGTACAATCGTCATGACAAATAAGCCCATTCTTCCCAAATCTGCGATTCTAAACTCATCTGCCTTCATGACTATAAGTGGGCTCAATGCATTCCCTGATAAAACCCATCGATGGCGGAATGACTGTTTCGGTTTAACCTTCGGTCTATGACATGCCTTGAAATTGAACTTACATAGTGCTAGATTCATAAATTCATTATAATGGAGAAACATGGGATCATAATGGCTCACTTTCAACAATGTTGCTTCTGAAGCTGATTAAATAGATTCGTATCCTTCTTTCAAGCCTTAAGGCTTATCAAGTAAATAGCGTTAGCATCCTCACGCTACTCTCTGCTTCTTTAATTCTGGCTCCGTGCTGTCAACTCCATCAGCAAGCTCCATATATTCCAGGTGCATCTGTTCGAACTCCAACCGCGAGCTTTCGACACCCATATCAACCACGTTCTTAATAGACTTCTCCCATTGCGCCTGCAAGTACTCATGTGTGGATTTAAACCGAGTCTGTAGCTCATACCTTTCCTTATTCACCTCTTCGATCTGTGCGTTCACGCTCTGGAGGCTTTGTTCGGAGCTTTCAACCGTACCGGCTGCGGTCCGAAGGATCTCCTGCGATGCGTGAGACAATTGCTGGTCCAACGCCCGAAGGGAATTCTGGTGCATCTGGTGGTAGGTGATGATTACTTGGAGCCTCACCGGATCTCTTTCACTGTCTTCCTGGTACCGGCCAAGGTCAACTCCTCCCAAAGTGAAGCTTTCGCTCACCTCCACGTTTCTGCTAGCAATATCACGGGAAAAGGGGGATACATATAAATTTTGCTGGTCAAAAACTTCATCTAAACGAGTCTGATGTTGCACATTGTAGTCTTTGTCCTTTGACATTTCCTCCAACTCAAGCTTGATGAGGTTGCGTATCTCCTGGTCATGCTTCTGGAACTGTGTATAATCATGGACATAGTCCAAAGATGTGGTTTCTAAATTAGCAGCACACATTCTGAATATGCCAACGGAAATGTCGCTCTGGCAAACAACGTTTTAGTTATTTCGAATGAGCTGGGTGCAAAAAAAACGACCCGTACGCATGTCAAAGATATCTGCAGGACAATTCAAGGGCAAAGCTCAACCTCAGCAGTTGAGAAAAGCTAAACATTGTTATCCAGACTTGGTCAACGTAATTATTGCTTAAACGACTAAACCTATCTTAACGCATTAATATCTAGCCGAATCAAATATCGGCGCAAGTCCTATAGATTTTCTGTATCGAAATCTTGTAATGGTGACCTTAGGTGAAGTAACAGAACACGTGGTGAGCCCGATAGTTTAAATGTCTCCAACATTTTACATATAACATTACTATCTGAAACAGTGGGTAGATTATTGTACGTTTCTCGTCTCTGGATGCTCAAATTCACATGCAATTGATTCATAGTACCCGCTACAGTTTTTGGCTTTTCTATAACTATTTAAGGCCAGCTTTTCGATAGTGGCATGTTAAGAGAAAAAAACACTGCCTAATGGTAAGTACGACCGAATGGTGAATTTTATGGATGTAGCCTGAAGGAACTTATACATGAAACGCCTATATCTTTTGGACGCCAACGGAGTTACATTCCTTCATATTACCTTGGATCGTATACAGCGCTTCAATCCCAGGGGAGAACATATGTACATGACCTTGCATTACATAACCTGAAGTACCGGTATGGGTAATGCAACTCATCTACACCTAATATCTAACATTTATATACAGGGACTTTATACACTTATTTGTCTTTGGTTTCAACCTCAGCTTCGGATTCGGCGGCAAACTTGAACTTGTTTTCGAACAAATCCACGACAGCACTGAGTTCCTCGGCGTGCGCGACAGACAGCTTCTGCAAGTACGGCACCAACACCTCCGCATTCAATGCGGTCAACGCTGCATCACCGTGCTGCGCCAATGTATCCTGAAAGACCTTGATGGCAAGCAAACCGGTGCCAATGCTGTGAGGAAACTTGGCGTCCTGCGCGTTGGCGATCACGGCGGCCAATCTGTCCTGGGAGACTGCGGCATGCGCGACGATCTCGGTGCTGAGCTGCTGCAAGATCGCTGCTGGCACCTGGGCCTGTGCGGCAATGGCGTACTTCAACAAGGAATTGAACAAGGTCAACTCCGCGTCCTCTGCGGCGGTCGGGTCGGTGCCAAAGTTGTACTCGGTAAACTCCTTGTGCAAGGTCTCAGCCTTGGTGATTTCCTGAACCACATTCTCACCAGCCGGGTTCTGTGCGTAGTAGTGGAATCTCAACAAGTTGGTGAAGAGCTGCAACCTCTGTATCTCGATTCTGGATGCCAAGAGCGCAAACTTAGGCTTGGTGGCGGCTAAGTCGCGGGTGATCCACTTCTCTTCCGCAATCAATGGGCGCAAAAAGTACTTATTCTTCTTCTCCGTAAAGTCCAAGCCCTGTGGGACCTGGTTGAGCTCAGCAAACTTCGACAACAAGTTGATCAAGTGGTTGGTCGTGAGGTACTCCTGGTACCCCGAGTTAATGTCCACAATCAACGCCTTGACCTTAGGCAAATTCTCAGCCAAGCTCTCGGCAGAAGGGAAAGATGCTTCGAGAATGCGGTTCAACTCAAGCTCACGTGGCGGGAAGTGCTCACCCTTGTTTCTAGGCTGGAAGTAGTACTCCTCATCCGAGAGCTTGCGCTTCTCAGCACCGGTCAAGGCATTGAACTTTGGGTTTGGAATTCTCAATCTCATAACTCTCTCGGCCTTTGCAGGGTCGTACAACAACGTTCTCAATCTCGGCGGCGTCTGCAAGTACTCCACAAAGTGGTTCAAGCCCTGGGCAGACTCATCAAACGCTTCATTCAAGCACCCTCTGGAAGTGGAGAACGCTCTAGCGACAGGAGCGGTAATGCACTTGCGGACCAACATAATAGACATTGCGAGTGCTCTGGGGAATACCTAATAGGGGACTGAGCTGGATCCAAGATTGATAGTCTGGAATTTTTCACGTGGTTGGAAAAACGCTCCGGTCCAAATTTTACACAGTGGTTGACGCACGAATACGCCAACTAAGAGATGCCTCTGGAAAATAATGAGAGTTTTCGAATCGCTAGTTATTTTATTTTACGTGGTCTTTGTTTATCCTTGGGTATAAAGTTTGAGGAACTATTTGTAGTTGGAACTTCCAAAAACAAGCTCTTCTCCCAATTATGAAAGCGTTTCTTTCTCAAACTTGGGAGCAGGATGCATCGGGGTAACTTGTTTAGTTACAGCGATTCAACGATTTATTACATATGGTAAAGTACCCGCTTCCTCGCATATTACAGACCCTCGTCTCCTGGGAGTAGGCTCTTCAAGAGCATGATTTAGGTACCCTTGGTTTCCGTAAGGCCTCCGGATCTCTTGGCTCAACTATAATCTCGTAGTACACGTATACCCTTCCCCATTCTACTCATCTGGTAATATCTAATATGGGTATCAACTAATTTCTAGATTATATCAAATTTCACCAATCTCCCATTCGGTTTCAACCACTTCCTGTAAACTCACCCTATCGGCCAAAATTGCCACTAAAACCCGTTTGATCGTGGAGTTTTGCGGGTCGTTTAAAATCCGCCAATCCTTGCCGGAAAGCATATTGAACAATTTACTCCCGGAAGGGAGTTCCTCGCTTTCCATCGACTTTGGAGACGTAGAAAGGGGCGTGTTGGTGGAGATGTACGACATTAAATCCACAAGAGGCGTACCCCCGGAGCATTTCCGCTGTCTGCTGCGCTCCAAGTAGAAGTTTTGCTGCGGCAGCCAGTCCTCGTCGTCAGAGGTGGTGTCCATTTCGTGGTCGTCGTATATAATGCTGTCCTGGAATGCCGACGACGGCATCGGCGACGGTGAATACCGACTGTTAGAGAAGTACGGATCGTTGGGGGTTAACGGGCTTGCCATGCGGCTGGTGGGGGTGGCTGCCCTCGAAGTGATCTCATTGCTCAAGAGGAGCGGATAGTAGGGAGGCTTACCGATGGCTGCGTGTAAAAGAACAAGCCCACAGCTGTACAAGTCGGTGAAGTGACTGGGCTTGTTGTGGTATGGGTTAGTGAGTAGCTCCGGCGCAATGAACTGCAACGTTGCATTTATCATGGAAGCGTTGGTGGGGGTAGCCGGCAGCATCGTTACGGGAACATTGCTGGATATGGCAGAGGCGGAAAAATCACTCAAGACAAACCCTTTGATATCGCCAGATTCCGCTCTATCAATCAATATATTCTCTGATTTCACGTCCCCATGCACCACCTGGCAGGCTGTCATAATCGAGAGAGCCTGGATCATATTACGAAAAAGCCTCCACCAGGTATGTGCCCCAATAACCACAGCGTGCGATGTTTCACTCTGTTCCCGCTTTATCTCGGCTTTGGAGGCAATGATAAACTCTTCGAGGTTTAAGGAGTTCATTTTCTGTAGCACCAAGCACGGGAGGGACTCGCCGTATCGGATCTTGGTGAAATGCTTTTTTGTCAAATAGATCAAACCAGGGGAGCGAATGAGAGGAAAGAAAGCATCTTCAATGGCGTGTTGTCTGTAGTAGCGCATGAGCTTCATCACCAGAAGGGTCTCCTGCATGATATAGTTAGCAGACCTTGCAGACTTGGGGATCTTCACCACGTAAGAAGAAGTGAGTTGTTTAATGTTCATGTGGCTCAAGTCATACACGTAGGAGTACGAACCTTGGCCCACTAGTCTCCCTAGTTTGATATCTGACGCTTGGTCTTCCGCATGAAAGTATATTGTGAAGTTGTGTAACATGGTAATGTCGTGGGTATCATAGCGGTCTGACCACGAGACAAGGCGCTTGTTGACACGGGGAGGAGTGGAAAGGGGCCCTACGTCGACGGTCTTGCTTCTCTTTGGTAACCGGATGGGAGTAGGGGTGTCGATATCCTGGGTATGCTGATCCTCCTCTGCTATGGAGCTTGGAGATGAGGATCGGGACAACATTATGGATTCGACTGACGACATCGCTATGCTATCCTTTCGGGGAGTGGTGGGAATGGGTATGGGTGTCGTACTGGTTCTTTGTAGGATGCCCCTGGGGTCATCTTGGTTATCGCATGTGTGTGTGGGGCTGATAAGGCTTGACATTGTGAGATGGATGTACTATATGTGGGAAATGAATGTACTTGCGCGAGTAATGTAATTTTTCAAACTAGGAATTAAGCTTATATATGAGCGGCACTTATCTAGGCTCGCGGCATGACTTATCTGCGGGGGTACAATTTGTCATACATCCCTTTCTGCATCTAAACGGCTCCGTCACCGCAACAATCCAATTTACAGGATATACGAGCAAAAAAAACAACCCGTGCTGCAGCTTTTAGCGGGGCTAGTCATCCAGTTCTGCGACACAGAGGGCGCGTTTACCGCTAAGCCGGCACCTTTCACGCTTCCTCGCTCTTCCACCACTGAGGTTTACCGCAATCACCAAGCATATATCGGGTTAGCGCAATCCATAAATATGGCTGGTCATCGAGGAAATCGGCGCGAGGCGAGGGTTTCCGACAAACAAAGATGGGTTTAAGAACGTAAGACTGGCACCGGCATGTGTGCAGGATTTGCCTTGCAAGTGGCAAAACTCGGCCAGGGCGAAAATTTACGGGGATTCCCTGGCGCCGTAGACCATACGGAACGTGCATAGAATCCCGACGTGTAGGTATGGCTTATTGTGCGGGGAAACTCTATCATGTACGAGCAATATTAACCGTTTTTTTTTTTTGGGCAGCATTTCTGAAAGTGTGGTTGGGCCCGCATGGGCAATCCGTATTGCCCGGTCAGGCTCGTAAGGCAGCTGGGAAAAATGCCAAGCATTTGTTGTGCGTGAATTGCCCGTCGCTGCTGTGCATGACTTTACTAGGATGCTTAGGGGCTGGGCATAGGATCGCTCGATCAGGCAGTGGAGATACCACATCAAGGAGTGTATTGGGTATCTGCATATCCACACATAGAACATCGCATCATATCAATCTCCTTTTTCAGCGGGTGCCATGAATGATATGCTCAAGACAGAACTTCGCAAGGCTGAATTCCTGAAAAGGCAATGTCAAACGCCGTCAAGGAATAATGTGTAGCCGGTACGACTGGAAAGTGGAAAGATAGTAAACATAACCCAGTTAGAATTATGTCTCGATGATGTTGATTAATATTTCAGACCTTTGGGTTACAAAATATAAACATATTTCTAGGGAATGTTTTAATTATAATACCATGTTTTCAGTCCTTAAGTGAACATCAAATAAACGTATTTATATTAATGAAATTAGCAATATATTTATATATGTATCAATTAATTTGTATTAATTATAATATAGGTATATATACTTATACAATGACTACATCTGAAGCAGATATACTTGATAAGACAAAACATTGTATATATTGTTCCCTCGCTCGAGGATATATATGTACAAGGTTCTCAAACACACCAGCGATCCAAATATGTGTACCCACACACAGGGTTATTTCTTCAAAAACAGATACATGGCTCTCCTCTCCACGCTCCTAATACATGACATCAACACAGTTGTATCCGTTCGAATAAAACTTGTCCTTTTTATCGTTGATTAATTTGCCCGAGGTTGTAGTTGTAAAATTATCCCAGGAGCTAATCCGATATCCAGCTTCCAAATCCACGGGTGTCGCACGTGAAAGTATATAGGGCATTCCAAGAGTAGAAATATCCTTGTTTATAAAGTAGTCACAAGCGTATATACTAGCATGTAAGCGTAAGTATTGCTTCATCACCCAAACTACCATGCATATCCACGAAAAACGAAAAACTTGAAAATTTTTCAGACGCCAGTTGGTCGTTTCCGAATGTTAGGCTCAATTCGCGGTCTAGCTAATTCGCTGCTAAAGAGAACCACCGAAAACGTTTCTTTTTTCTGTTTGGCGCACACCTTACAAATTCTTGGTAGCGCACGCACCCTATCTACCATTGCGAAATTTTTTCCACCATGCTACTATGGGTGACGAAAAATTTCCAATCGCAGTGGTAACGACGCCCTCTGGCACCCTCACTAGGTGCACACACCCAAACTCTCCCACTTAGGCTGCGAGACTCTGGCGATGGTTTGAGGAAAAATGTAGGGTATATTTCTATATAGTGTTTTCACTGCCGTAACAGAGATTTAGCTTATTCACTCAGAGTTCATATATATCCAAAATGGTATGTCTAGCACCTAAACACGATGAGAAACGATAGTGCCACCTCAAGGGATCCAGCGAGCCAAACATGATGGGATTTTGAACATAAACCGATCTAGAGTTCGAGCGACGACGCAAACAACCCAGCAGTCAAGCGGATACCTCACCTAGTTAGGTGAGGCCCATCAATCATTTTGGCACTTCCCCCCCTCGCCGAATAAGGTCTACGGGGGAAAGATTTAAGACTGTTGAAAAATTTTCTGTTCCCATCGATTAATTAGAGCCCTTTTGCACAGCGTCGTTTCCTAAGCGGTTTATTTCAGCCTCCTTTATTTCGTCACCCGGATCTCTCAATTTAATCTTAACTGGATCGGCCACTCGTTTCTCACAGCATCCTATGTAATAGCCACTAACATTCTAGTCTGCCGCTAAAGCCTCCAACCCAATGCGTGAAATCAGAATTGAGAAGTTGGTTCTCAACATCTGTGTCGGTGAATCCGGTGATAGATTGACCAGAGCCTCTAAGGTTTTGGAGCAGTTGTCTGGTCAGACCCCAGTCCACTCTAAGGCCCGTTACACTGTCCGTACCTTCGGTATCAGAAGAAACGAAAAGATCGCTGTCCACGTCACCATCAGAGGCCCAAAGGCTGAAGAAATCTTGGAAAGAGGTTTGAAGGTTAAGGAATACCAGTTGAAGTCTAAGAACTTCTCTGAGACCGGTAACTTCGGTTTCGGTATCAACGAGCACATCGACTTGGGTATCAAGTACGATCCATCTATTGGTATTTACGGTATGGACTTCTACGTCGTTTTGGGTAGAGCCGGTGCCAGAGTCGCCAGAAGAAAGAGATGCAGAGGTGTCATTGGTAACTCCCACCTTCCAAACAAGGAAGACTCCATTACTTGGTTCAAGCAGAAGTACGATGCTGACGTCTTGAACAAATAAGTTTGATGTTAACATAGTTTTTCTATCTTTCCCATCATTATTTAGTCCTAATTTGTACTCCCTATTTTTAAAAGTAGAACCGCCAGTGGCTGTAGCATGGCAATACGTTCAAGCCATGGACGTATGTGCGCCCCATAATTTAAGGCTAAATACCCCCCAGATGGGTTCGCTTCAATTCATCGGTCCACTCGCAGTGATTATATAACTACTGAAGTCAGGCATGCTCTTGAAATGTTATCAAACTTGAGTGCTAGCGATCAGATATGTCTAAACTGTTCCATGTAAGAGGTGTAGTTCAGAGGAATAAACAATCTCCTGATTTTTACCCCTGTTTACTCATATGTTCCTGTCCAGAACTAGCATTCATCCAAGATGCAAGCCCACATTGATTTTCACGACCCAAGGGAGAAAAGTTATACCTTGGCACTCACTTTAACACCGCGTTCTCTCAGGGCTTCCGTGAGGCAAGTGCATCTCTGAAAAATCATTGGAACCGTCTTCTGTGACCAAGCCCTATGGCCGAAGCAGGCATACCTAAGAGCATCCGTCTATTCCTTTGCCATATCAGAGGGCAGGGTTGCAAACTATCCTCTAAAATCTAGGGCTGTAAAACAATTCAAAGATACCCAATCTAGTCTGATCTAATGAAATAAGGAAAAAAGGGTAGCGCCTGTGCAAGCTCTCACCGCGACATCTTTCAACTCCGTTAAAATACACAACGACGATCATTGACCATCCACCGTGGCTAAACCATTATAACACCACCGTTCAAACATATAAACCTTCAATTAAAGCAGCCTCCATCACCAGTTCGGCCACACCCTACCAACTGGTATTGGGGTTCCATACAGTCCTGCATAACTCTCGCAGCGTCCACCGGCACAAGAGATAAAGTAAATAAAATAATTTTTATGTTATGATTGTATGCATGAATTATAATACTGGCATAGTCACACTCCAAGACACAACTTGCCAACCACCAACCATACACCAGGGAGCAGACACCTTGCACGTTTTGCCAGCGTTTATCTAACCCCGCTCTGCCATCCAATTTTCTTCCCGTATACTTGCAGCTAGCAGTATTCCAGGTCAGATAACGTCAGACTTGCCGCCGAGCTCTAAGTAGCGTTCCAGGACCCCGATTGACCTAGTTATCATCTGTTTCCATTCCTTTAAGATAGTTGCACCATTTGGAGCCTATTACTGCCTCTACATTATTTACCCTTTGCATAGCCCTCATGAGTGAGAGCCAAAACCACGATAAGATGGCTGACCCGGCCGGAAAACCTGACCCAGAAGCTCTACTAGCCATCGAAGACAAGCTATCGCGACTTGACTTCAAACCCGAGGATGCCAAGCAACTGAGCGATCCACTATATGACCAGCCTCTCGACTTAGACATGTTAGACCACCCACTCGAGCCCAATTCCAACTTGGTCTCCAGCCTCGACGATGACGAAATCAACAAGATCTTGGAACAAGCAAAACGACACAACCTTTTGCCAGAGGAGTCCCATGAAAGCACCGAGAAGCTCCTCCGCCAGCTTGAAATGGAGACCGACGAGAGAAGCACTCCTCAGGCGGACCCTTTGCCAGTGGTGGCTGCCATCGACGCTCCTCCGGAGGAGCTGAAGGAAAAATCACCCGAAGGTTCAAATGAAGACACGAATACAGACGTAAACGAGGACGCGAACCAGGATACGGACCAGGACGTGGATAAGGAAGCGAATAAGGACGCAAGCCGGAGCCTGGAACAGAATCCGAGCGGAGAGCCAAATACAGAGTCAAATCGAAGAACCGCGGAGTCTCTCATCGTCCACAAACCTCTCAATAGTGAAACGAGGAATTCTGGTTCCGAAGCTGCACCTAGCACTGGAAACCCTGAAGTCCATCAGCCAACACCGGTAGTTCCCCCAACCAATGCTGGTAGTGCCTTAGCCCCGGCGTACACCGGTATTTCTGGCATTAAGGATGACTCAAAGGTCTCAGCATATGCCCGGCTTGACTTTGACCAGTTCACTTTCTACGTGCAAACCCTCCAAGTGTTGCTCGGGCGGCGCACGGCCGAATCTTCACCCAACGCGACACAGAACACGCAGGAGCGCAGCGCCTGCCACCTTGTGGATGTCCACCTCGGCTCCACCAAGGCTATTTCCCGGCGCCATGCCAAGATCTTCTACAACTTTGGGACGCAACGTTTCGAGCTCTCGGTTCTTGGACGCAACGGTGCCTTTGTTGACGACACGTTCGTGGCGATGGGCGTGACGGTTCCGTTGAAGAACGGGACCAAGGTCCAAATTGGCAAGCCGACTTTTGCGTTTGTTTTGCCGCATGAAGAGGCGGGTGAGAAAGATGCCAACGCTGACATATCTAGTGGCGACGATGAGGCCCGTAAGGAGAAGCGCCGCGATAAGAAGACAAAGTCCAAGTCCAAGTCCAAGAAGAAGTCCAAGAAACACCGGCACCGAGACGACAAAGAAGACGGCAAAGAAACGGCCGAGGTAAAGCCTAAGGTCAAACCCGAGGCCAAAGCTGAGACAAAACCCAAACCACGGGTCGAACCTCCTAAAGTCGCACCCGGTTCGGCTTCGCCTGTGGCGGGGCGAAAAGACAGCATCTCCACGTTGATTTCTTCTGTGCTTGGCTCCCCCTTCAAGCTGCCAGAGGCCAAGAAGGGGAAGGAACCCAGCATCGAGGAACAGATTGCCCAGCTCGGCGGACTGTTATACGAGGCGATAGCGGAGAAACCGGAGTCACTGGCCTCCTCTGCCGCATCGCTTGCCTCTTTAAATTCAGCGGCCAAGCTTCCCGCTAAAACGGCTGCCAAGTCTGTTTTGACTCCGGCACTGAAGGTTGTGTCGCCAAAGACGGCGAAGGTTATGTCCGCCAAGGCTGCGTTGAATGTAGATTCGATGCTTTCGCTCATCTCTGACATCCACGAGCCGTCAGCGTTGGAGCTCCAGCTCCAGTCGGAGGTCGGGGGTCTCATCTCACACACGAATGAGCTCGACGACTTGGATTTGGACGACAACACGCTTGAGGAGGAGCTCGCGCGCCTCGAGTACATTCAGTCACTCTATGAGGACAGTCTTCCGCCCGAGATCTTGGAACCGATCATGAATGGGACGGCGGACCCATCGCTTGCAAACCTCGGGCATCTCGGACCACGCGTGGCACCGAAACCACAGATCGGTATGACGCAACAGCAGGCGCATGTGGAGTTCCAGGCGATCCAGAAGCGCAAGGCGGAGGAGGCGCGAGTCCAGGCGATTAAGGAGCAGCAGCGTCAGCAACTATTGAAGCAGCAACAGAAGCAGCGACTCCTCCAACAGCAACAGCAACAGCAGAAGCTCAAACAACAGCAATTGCAGCAGCAGAAACAAAAGCAACAGTTGCTTCAACAGCAGCAACAGCAGCAGTTGCTTCAAAAACAGCAGCAGTTGTTGCGTCAACAACAGTTACAGATCCAGGAACAGCAGAAAAAGTTGGCTGCGCAGGCACTTGCAGCTAAGGCCAACTACCAAGCGAAGCCTGCGACTGTAAATGGCTTCTCTGGGGGAGCGGGAGCTCGCTCGGCCCCAGGGGCAACACCTCCCGCGTCTGTATCAACCGTGCGCGTTCCGGTTCCAAAGTACATGCCACCTAAGGTGTCCCAAAGGCCGGGAAATGTCAACTTGATCAAGCCGATCCCGCCAAACTCGGGGTATCCGAAGGCTGGGTGGTACAAGCCAGGGACGGACGGCGCGCTGGGCACGGTGCCGCCGGCAGGAACTGCTCCAGCAAGCCCCTCTATTCCAGCCGATACCGCATCTGTCACGCCAGTGCCGAATGCGGGTTTGCAACCTAATCCGTTATCTAAGACGGTTTCACCGGGTCCGTTGGCCCCATTGCCAAAGGTGGCCTCTCCGGCTACAGGGGCCGTTCTGGGAACCACTTCGAGCACCGTTACTGGTACAACTCCGGAACTATATCCCTCGTCTGGTCCTGTTCTGGGACTAGTCTCTGGCCCTGTACCAGGAACTGCCGTTCCGATGATTCTCACACCCTCTGGTTCTTCCTTCGTGTACCAACCTGTTCCTGACAAGAAATCGAAGCCCAAGCCACCCCGCTCGCAGAAGAAAGTCTACCTCCCCGAGGAGATTCCCGAGGAATTCCGCAATAAGCCGTCGTGCTCGTACTCGCAGCTTATCGCCACGTGTCTCAAGATGCACTGCACAGACCGCGGGATGTCGCTTTCGGAAATTTACGCGGCCATCCGCGAGGTCTTCCCGTATTACAAGTACTGTTCGGACGGCTGGCAGCTGTCAGTGCGCCACAACCTCTCGCTTAACAAGCAGTTCAAGAAGGTGTCGAAGGAGGGCAAAGGTTGGTTGTGGGGGCTCAACGAGGAGTTCAACGAGAAGGAGCGGTTGCGCAAGGAAGAGGAGGACGAGAAGGCACGACTTGCCAAGCTCAACTTCCGCCCCGCTCCGTTTCAGGGCACCGTCCCGACTTATACCCCGGGTGCCTCTGTGGCCTACCCTCCAGGGACCCTTCCTTCCGCCATTGGGGCCCAAAACACCGGATTCAGTCAGACCCCTGTCTACCTGGTTCCCGGTATGAACAAGACAGTGGTGAACGCGATGCCAAAGGTGGTGCCAGGACTGCCACTCAACACAACCAACATCCAGGCGCAGCTCGCGGCGAACCGTGCGAAACAGGTTCCGAAGGCTCCACCGGCAAAGGCGACTGGTTTGAACGACGAGACCATGAAGTCACTCGCCTACCTCCAGAAGGAGTTGGTCAAGTTGACCAGCGAGCGCAAGTTCAAGTACGACAAGACCACCACCACCGCCATTCTTACCCAGGCGTTGGCCATGACCATTGCGCAAGTGACGCAGGTGGCCCAGAAGGCAGGCATGACGGGGAACCCGTTGGCCACGTTGATCGAGCGGACACCTCACCACTTGACCAAGATCTTGGGGGTCGCGTTGAATGCAGCGACCCAGCAGGTGTTGAAGAAGCAGGGCATAACGCCGCCGCCGATATCCAAGCCGTCGTCCAGGGCTAGTACGCCCGTTCCCGCGCCTAAGCCGAAGAAAAAAGCCGAAGTTAAGGTTGAAGGGAAGATCTTGGCGGGTGATAAGGTTGTGTTGGGACCTGGAACGGCTAGCTCTGTTCCTAATCCAGTCCCTGGTTTAGCTCCAACACCCAGCCCTGTTCCTGGTTTGGCTCCTGGCTCTGCTTCTAGTTCAGTTCCCGTCCCAGCTTCTACTGCAGCTCCTACAAGTTTAGTTAGCTCAGCACCCGCTATTACCGTGTCTGACTCTGTCCAGCCATTGCAAGCAAAAACCCCTGTTTCAGTGCAGTCTGTTGATTCAAGCGACAAAGTCCCTAGTCTGGCTTCTGTGACACCAGTGGTGGCCCTGGTTTCAGCCAATTCAGCAACTAGAACGCTGTCGGATTCTACTCTGGCTCCAACTGCTGCTTCTGTGGCGTCTGAACCTGTTCCATCCAATGTGGATGCGGTCACTGTCGGCGCTGTTCTATCGGTGAGTCCTGTGATACCAATTGTCAATGCTGCAGTTCCAGCTTTAACCCTGTCGTCTCACAATTCTACCGTTTCCCCTCCCGCCACTCCAACTCCAGTGAGTATCACTATGGGTATTTCAGATGATCCGGTAACCTCTGCTCCAGTGATATCAACTCCAGTGGCTTCTGCACCAAGCGTCGTTACCAACGCTAATCCTACCGCTCCCGCCGCTCCAAGCCCTGATTTAACTATCGTTTCGTCTGTGATTACTGATAATGTCACTGTTCCACTTGCCACTCCACCTGCTATCCCGTCCACAGTTGCACCCGTTCTTGCCACGTCGGCAGTCCCAGGTATCGTCAATAACGCACCAAGTATGATCATCGATGTTCCAACAGTCGCCTCCTCCACTGCCGCTGAGATTGCCCCTAAGGCTGATATCGAGATGGAAGATGTCGCACCAGCAGACTCAAAAGCCGTCTCTGTGACTACCATAACTGAACCAACCAAGGCCGAATTAGTTACTAGCTCTATGGAAAGGGGCACACCAGTGGTTGAAGCGGAAGTCCTTGATCCAGTGGTGACTACCGGTCCGGAAACTACGAACCCAGCAACGACCGTGGATAGCCCAACGAAAGCTGAACCGGCCGAGGGATCGGAAGGGGCATCTACATCTTTAGTGACTGTGGATTTGGTTTCTGGTAAGGAACCCCAGGAGGTCTCTACCTCTGCCTTAGAGCTCGGCACAGCTCAGGAAGAGGTTGAAGCCAAAACTGTCGAAACTATCGCCACTGAAACGATCACAGTTAAGACTGACACCACAGGACCTGTTACTCAGGGTGACCCAATAACTGAAGATGAACCTGCCGCGATTGAACTTGTTTCGATAAAATCGATTGAAGGAACGGAAACAGAGGTCCCAAAACCAGAGGTTAAGCCAGAAACCGAGAAGGTCGAAGAGCTGTCTATCACATCCACTAAGCAAGCGGTTGAAACTGAACCAGACCTCACCCCAGAGCTTAACGGTTTACAGGCGGCTCCGGTTGAACCCCAATCGGGCGTGGAAACGGGTCCTCAAGGTATAAAGAGACCGTTGGAGGATAACACGGTTGACCAGTTCTCGGTCAAGATGGTGAGGCTCAATAAAGAATAGAGGGTGAAGCCTCTTTTGACGTGTCTATTCAAAATGTAAGCGAAGGTACAGATTTTACAGGTAACTTAATATCTAGATGGGGGAAATAGTCCGAGGCTCAACATTTGTTCATTCATTTTTGTTCTGCTCCTCGGATGATATGAGTATCCTATCCATTCACGACATCAACTTAAACATGAAGCAAGGGGCTTATTCACTACCCCTTTCTCAACAATCTTTTGGCTGACATGCTACTGCGCTTTGATCCTTCGTCCCTATCTAAATCAGACATACCATAATACGTAAGCCGCTAAAACAGTGACCCAAGATAAAGAGGCAAGTTTTGGCCTGATTTAACTTGGAAATTCCGGCCCCAAGGTTTGATGCCAAATTAACCGTTCTATTGATGGGCTTACCATAGAACCTGTGGAGCCCCACGATGCTGGATAGTGAAATACGCAGTTCTAAACCCCCTACAGCTACCTTCGTAAAAAAAAAAAGATATAATGTTCTTCCGAATATCTCCAACATAGTTTGTAGAAATCAATTCCAGTAAAGCCAGGGAGGGCGGCTTTTATCCCAATTAGGCAGTCTACATCCTGTACGCTATCAGTGGCGAGCAGTGAGTGCTAGCTAGAAAACACGCCTTAACAAAACGGAGTTGCCACTTGACCCCTCAGTTCATCAATTATAACACATATCATACACATACACAATGAACTCCGTGGCCAGCCAATTCACGTTCAAGAACACCAAACAGGACTTCCAGGACGCTCAGCAGTCGCTTTCCGGCTTCCAGCAGTTGAACCTCGCGCCCTCGCTCGCGTTGCCGCCCATCTCGCAGCCGACAGACTTCTTAAGAGCGCACACCGACGATTCGGTGAACCCGGACTGTAAGATCAAGATTGCGCACGGGACCACCACGTTGGCATTTAGATTCAAGGAGGGGATTGTGGTTGCAGTCGATTCTAGAGCCACTGCCGGGAACTGGATCGCATCGCAGACCGTCAAGAAGGTGATTGAGATCAACCCGTTCCTCTTAGGGACTATGGCCGGTGGTGCCGCTGACTGTCAGTACTGGGAAACCTGGTTGGGAACCCAGTGCCGCTTGCACGAGTTGCGGGAGAAGGAGAGAATCAGTGTCGCCGCCGCGAGTAAGATCTTGTCTAACTTGGTCTACCTGTACAAGGGAATGGGGTTATCGATGGGTACTATGGTCTGTGGGTACACCAAGAAGGAGGGGCCTACCATCTACTATGTTGACTCCGACGGGACCAGATTGAAGGGCGATCTCTTCTGCGTGGGTTCGGGCCAGACCTTTGCTTACGGTGTGTTAGACGCCAGCTACCACTGGGACTTGTCCGTAGACGAGGCTTTGGAGTTGGGGAAGAGAAGCATCTTGGCTGCTACCCACAGAGACGCGTACTCTGGTGGGTCTATTAACTTGTTCCATGTGACCGAGCAAGGCTGGGTCTTCCACGGCAACTACGATGTTGGGCCATTGTTCTGGGAGACGAAGGCGCAGGAGGGGTCGTTTAACAATGTGGAGGGTTAGTGCAAGGGTGAGTGTATAGCTCGAGCTTGGGCAATGTCAGACCAAACGCTGAGGGTGGATGCGTAGCACGGACGAAAGGCATGTAGATGTCGGGTTAAAGAAGTGAACTATTTAGACTATCTATAGCAATGGTAATGTATCAAAAGAATTTTATCTGAAACTATAAAAGAGTAAACGGAGATGGAGGATATTCGGAGTTACGCTGGCCATAAGAACTAGCTAGTGGGAATGCGACCAATGGGCATTAATTGGTCAAAATCTAAGAGGATACAGCTGCATACACATGGGTGAAGCAATCGGTTATGGGCCATAGTTTATTAAAAGGTGTCCGATGATATAAATAATAGATGTACAAATACATAGATCGATATCGAGCTACTGGGAACGGAATTGAGTTGAACTGGTGACCTGCCTGCATCTTTGCTGCGAATCTCGGGGCTTTCAAATACTTTCCAACCTAATCCTCTCGACGGCAAACAATATATTATGGCTTTCGCCCCAACACTGAATAGTCTCGCTTCACGGTCCGTTAACTTTATACCATCGTTTGTGTAGATTCCCTATGGTACCTTATATATACAATTCTTAGTTTCGAGCACTACCCTCGCTAGCCAGAATCTTACAACCTCATCCCACGAACGTCAATCTTCTCGTGGATAAACTGTCTGGAACCACCAGCACCGATATAGTCCGCGGCAACTTGCCCGTTTCCACGCAACTGGTACTGGTACCCGACTAAGCCCTCCAAGCCGACCGGCCCCCTGGCGTGAATCTTATTGGTAGAGATTCCGACTTCTGCGCCGAACCCATATCTAAACCCGTCCGCAAATCTGGTGGACGCATTCCAGTAGATTCCGGCAGAATCGATCCCCTTCAAGAACTTATTCGCGGTAGCCTCGTTCTCGGTGATGATAGCCTCGGTGTGCTTAGATGAATGGACATTAATGTGCATCATGGCGTCCTCGGCGGAGGCCATGGCATCCACAGCGATGTCAAATGAAAGGAACTCCTTGTCAAAGTCACCCTCAACTGCGTCCACGATTTTCTCATTAGCTGGTAAGTGCGCTTTGATAATGGGTGTTACGTGCAAGGTGACGCCTGCGGTGATGAGCGCCTCAGCAATTACCGGCAACTGCGTGTCCAACAACGATTCGTGCACCAACAACTGCTCCGCAGCGTTGCACCCGGCTGGGTAGTTTGTCTTGGCGTCCACGGCAATCTTGCATGCCTTTTGCACATCTGCATCCTTGTCAACATATACAGAGCAAATCCCATCGGCGTGGCCCAAGACAGGGATCTTGGTGTTGTCCTTGATGTTGCGCACCAACTCATTGGAGCCTCTTGGAATCACCAAGTCGATGAACTTGTCCTGGTTCAACAAGGAGGAAACATCATCTCTGGTGGCAATGAGTTGGATAGCTTTTCCTGGAACCGCAGTCCTGACCAAGGTATCACTCACCACCTTTGCCATGGCTGTGAACGTGGCCAAAGACTCCTTACCGCCCTTTAGAATAGCGGCATTTCCGGACTTTACTGCCAACGCCGTGATGTTCGCAATAACCTCCGGTCTGCTCTCAAAGATAATCAACAACACACCCACTGGGCACGTGACACGGTACAAGTCCAAACCGTCATCGAGCCTCGTCTTAAGGGTCACGTTTCCGACCGGATCCTCGAGCGCAGCGACGTCCAAAACACCCTGCAACATGGTGTCATATTTATCACCCTTGGAGAGGTCTAAGCGGTTGATCAATGATGCTGGGAGGTTGTTTTTGGCGGCATTTTCCATGTCGATCACGTTGGCTTCTAGAATCGTCGCTTTGTGTGCACGGAGCTCGTCGTGGACGGCCTGCAATGCCTGGGATCTCTCTTCGTCGGTGAGCGTTTTAAGAATAGTGGATGCCATCCGGGCATCCCTTGCAATAATTTCAGCCATAATCTAAATGGGTGTGGAAGTGATGGGTGAGAGTGTAGGGAGTTTGGGGCTGTTTTTGACCTGTGCCTTCAGCGCTGAGTCATGTCGAGAAAGAAAAACGGGGCGGCTTAGGGACGTGCAGGAGGTGCGCAGGCAACATCGTTGGTTATGGAAAAGGTAAGACTGTGGGGTTTATTCCTTAGAGCACAGCCGAAGAAGAAGATTGGAAAATCCAGGCTGCCCAAGTATATCACCGGATTTGCAAAGTAAACATACACGTATACTCTCTGGAAGGCTTGTTAAGTACAAATCGCTCCATTTTTCCTGGTGGGTTTAAAATCTTATTGATATTCATTAATCTTAAGTATATTAACCTTACTATAATACAGTTGAGTGCTGTAACAGACCCAAGGCTTCTCCTCGGATAAATGGAACATCTTGGAAATAGATGCACGCTTCAGATAGTGGGGCAGATACATGGTGCGGTAGACAAAGTTCAAGCGTAACCGCAAAGTTATCATAGGAATTCGCAGTCACCATGATAGTGATAATGGCCGTACTTTCTCGATATAAATGCGCCGTCTCAACATCTAGCACCGTTTTTTTTTTTTTTTGAAATCCTCAATGACTGGAGAACTTTCGAATACGGTTTAAACATCAACGCCTCGCCTTTTGCCTCGATTAGTGTGCCTCGCGCATCTCCCCAAACTCCCCTCTCTTCTGCGTGGTATCGTACATCCGCACGATCTTCTCCTGGCCCTCTTCCGCTTGCGAGAACGCAAACCCTCTCTGCTTTCTCATCCGCTGCACCTGCCTCACCTTTCTGATAGCATTTTGGAACTGCTCCATTCTCGGCCTGTAGTCCGCAATATTATACTTTTGAATCTCTTGGACGTGGTGGTACGACTCGGCGCGGTACATCCGCTTGTAGTACTTCCACAACAAATCTCTCATCAAGCACAATACCGGCAAACAGAACACCATTGCCCAGAAGGTCAAGGAGCCGTAGGTGGCCGGCAACACGCCCTTATACTCCTGTGAAACGTTCACTAACGGCGCAATTACCGCGTAGGCTGGGAAGAAGAGAATCCAGAATGCAAAAGAGCCAGGAATCGCAATGAGTGTGTACTTGGTCCACATGTTGGAGATCAAAGCTGCCTTACCCAACGCCGTGAGTGTGCATGTGGTGTAAATAGCAACTCCCCAGGACCAATGGTCGCTCATATTGCCCCCTGCCAAGGTGTTTTCGTATTTATAGATGTAGATGGCGCAGATATAGATCACAGCAGAGTGGTAAAACCCGTTGATGATCCAGCTCCAGAAGATGGTTACGTTAAAGAACCGCTTTTTCTGGCCTAACTGGTACAACTGCGGGTAACGGTCGAGGTGGCGCGCGCTGACAAACTGGTCAAACACACCCAACACAAACGGCGGCAACACCGTGAAGAACACGTTGTAGAAAGTGAGCGTCCATGACTCCATGAGCGACTGCCCAGAGAAGCAGTTGATGAAGACAAACCAAAACTGGGTCATGTAAAGAATAATGTTCTTGTAGAAGGAGTAGAGAATGGCCTGAGAAATACGCTGGTACGACCAACTGCCGTGCACCAAAAGCAACTTGCGGAGGTACTTGAACTGGCCAATGGCGACATCCGCCGATCTGGCGGCCTGCATCCCTTCCATCCCACTGATGCCCACCCCCACATGCGCCGCCTGGATCATGCTGACATCGTTGGCACCGTCACCGATGGCCAAAAGCAACGCCTTCCTCTTCCGCTTCACCATCTTCACCACCAACGCCTTTTGCAAGGGCGACACACGGCAGCAAATCACCGCCTTGCACTTGGTCCCAATCTCGATTAGGTAGTCCTCGAGGTCAGCCTCCAACGCAAAGCCCAAGGACTTCCCGTCAATCACCAATGCAAGCGTGTCAATCTCTTGTTCGGAAATCTGGTGCGAGTTGATCGCCTGGAGCTTGCTCACGAGATTCTCCTTCACCGCCTCTTTCGTTTCCTCGTTCACAATCAACAAGTTCATGTCCTCGCTGAGCAACTTGCACGACATCCCGATGTTGACAGCGGTTTCCTGTCTGTCACCAGTGAGGACCCAGATCTTGATCCCGGCCTCCTGGAGCGTGTGGATAGTCTCAGGAACCCCGTCCTGGAGCTTATCTTCGATGGCGGTCGCACCAAGCAAGAACAAGTCGCGCTCGATTATTTCCGCGCACGCGTCGAGCGCATCGGCGCGTCCGTCCAACGTGGTTGCCGCGCGCGCATGCGCCTCCGCCCATGAGTGGTACTCCGCCTCGGGGATCACACGTGTTGCAAGACACAAAGTGCGTAAACCGTCCGAAGCGAATTCCTCCAAGTGTCTGAGCGTGTCGTCCACGTAGAGCCCGCCTTCTTCGGATAAACGCTCCAAGATAACTGTATCAGCGCCCTTACAGTAGAGTCTGATGGTTCCGTCTGGACAGCGGTAGATAGCACTCATACGTTTTCTGGTGGAGTTGAACTCACAAATGTTGAGCAATTCGTAGGTCAAAAGGGTCCCGCTTGGGTTCTCCAAGGTGATCGATTTTGGCTTTCTGACGGTAAACTTATACCGCAAACTGGCCGCCCCGTCCACCAACGCCCCTTCATCAGGCGAAGCCGCCTGGTACTTGATGGTCCCGTCATCCTTGACTTCTGGAATGACCGTGTGGCAGGCCGCCAAAAGCGTGAGGAATTCGTCAATCACCTGTCTATTAGGGCCGCTCACCAAATGGTCGTCCAATAAGGTCTGGAAGGTATGGAAGCCTACCTCAACTCCGTCAATCATTGTTGCATTTTTGTCTTCAGGGATTACCTCAGTGTAGCATCTCCCGGCAATAGAACACGAAAAGAACTCCATGATGTTTCGGGTCAATGTTCCGGTTTTGTCGCTGAAAATATACTCAATCTGGCCGAGCTCCTCCACCAAGGAGGAAGTACGACAGACGGTTGGGGTGTCGGTATCCGCAAAGTACATGTCCAAATCAGACCCAATCATGTACGCCTGGTAGAACTTAATGATCTCGACGGTCACAAACATAGAGATTGGCACAAGGTTAGAAAACAAAATCCAGTAGGTGAGGATGTCTTTGAAGAACAACAGGACCTTGTTGGTACCCTCAAGATAGAGGTAGCCCAAGCTGTCCGCGCTGACAGAGATTTTGATGACGTTACCGAGGGAAGAAATGAGAGACAATATTATGAGGATGCCGAACAATGCAACGATCTGGAGGTTGATGATACGTTCGACATCAGTTTGCTTAATAGGCGTAGCGGTCGCGTTCCTCATCAACTTCGTTTCATGGCCAGTAAACACCACAACACCGTGTATCCACGCGGTGTTACGCAATGTCGCACCCCGCAACAAGAGCTGGTCAGGGGCCAATGGGATCTCCCGGCCATTCAACGTCAACGTCCCCTCGTACGTATACAAACTGGAGTTGGGCTTTTCACTCATAATCTTTCCGGTTAAGCCAATCAAGCTGTGGGGGTCAACCAAGTCAGCGGTCTCTTCTCTCCCCTGTTTGATCTTCAAGTTTGTTTCACCGTCAAGATTAGCGGTCTCGATGTAGCACAATCCCTCCGGTTCAGACGAAGATAGAAGAATGATGTCTGCTGGGAACGGCTGCTCGCTTCTGACCCTGACAACATCACCTACCCTGACCTCGATCCACTTCTTTGTCACAAAGTCAGTACCGCGGAAAATCTCGATCCTAGAGGAATTGAGCTCCTTGTCTGCCGTCGCACGCTTGAGATCCTCAGAGATCTCCTTCACCGCCGACACAAGCAACACGACGGAGAGAGTTCCGATAGTTGTATATCTGTTTGTCGGCGAAACGTTTGGTACCTGTTGAATAACCGACGTGAAGAGGAAGAACAAGTTTGCGTACTTGGAGAATTGCTCAAACAAAAACTTCGGCACAAACGTCGCAAGGTTGTACTTGGTAGTGGAGATGTGGTTGCCGTAGTAGCCATACGCAGCGCACGCGGCGGAGTCGTTCACTGCCACGACGCGCGGGCCGTCGTCATGCGCACGCGCGCGGTTGCGCCGGAACACATTCTTGATGCGCCGAATATCGAAGCGGCTGGTACCGTCCGCACGATCTAGCACCTCCTCCGTCTGCAATGGCGTCGCATCACGCACAGGTGGCAATGCGTGCTGATTGCCAAAAGGACTGGCCGAATCGTTCATATCCGCGTAGTCGTTGCCCTGGAAGCGTTTCTTCATGTTGGAGAACAAGCCGCTGCCACTGGCGGCTGGCGCGTCGTACGGATTGTGCGTGTAGGAGTCGTCATCTGCGATGATTCGATTGAAACTGTGGTCGTCGTCATCATCATCGCCAATCTGGAACGCAAAGGGGTCGGATGGTTGGCGTCTGTGCGCAGTGTCGTTGTAATTGCCGCCCGTGCGCGTAGAGCTATAATTGCCATACGGACTCTGGTGTGGCGGGTCATCCGACAACAAGTCGATCATCGGCTCGTTGTAGTCACTGAACGGATTACCTGAAGTCATAAGGGAGGATTTCCAATGGGTTCAAGCGGTCTTAACTGGTGTCGGACAAAGTGTTGAAATGCTAAAACGTAGAGATCAGTAACGAAAGCAGAGACGTTGCGGGATGGTGGTAAGGGCTCGTAACCGGGCACAGCCCGTGGCTCGTGCATAATTCCCGTAATACATAGCCAAAGGGTCTTGACGGGTATTTTAAGCGTCGTTTACTGCAGGCAATGTGCTATGCTAGTTCCTTAGGGTGTAAATGAACCAAGGTGATGTTGATCGTAATGGTGTGGTGCCTGTTTAGTGTAACGACAGACTGTAGGTTTTGGTAGAGTCTGCCCGAAAAGAATGTCGGTGCATCTGTGAGGATATAACCTAGCGATCACATGTCACATAAGTCATTAAAGGTGGAGTATCAGTATATCACCGTCTCGACAATACTCTTTCAGATATCTATTTGGCACTATTCCACCATAGGCCAGACTCCGGTTTCCCAAGGAGGCTATTACTTGTATGAGTAGCATTCACAGTGTAGAATAGTACCCATTTTCAACTAATCTGCTGTCCACGACGAGATAGGTCAAAGCAGTGGTTAGGCATATTATCGAAATCAAAGCCAAAGTCTATTTCGTAGGTAAATGGTGTTCTCACGTAGGATGGGACAAGTCAAAAAATCTGCTTCTCTCGGTCACAAATTCCCCGCCGCCAGGCTGGCGATTAATCTACACTATTTTCAAATTTGAGCCTTAGTTTATAGCTCCTCGCTTCAACCGGCGGTATTTCTGCCTGTAGACACACCAAGGCTTATCATGGTGCAGTCTATATCATATCATATTCCATAAACTGCCCAGTTGTCTACACCAAATACATCATTCGTGTCTCATAACATCTATATAGCTTACTCCTCGTCCTCGTCCTCGTCTTCAGACCAGTCCACATAATATTCCTCAGCGATCAAGGCCTTGCACTTTTTCAAAATCAACGGGTCGAACGGGAAGTAGCCCTCCAAGTCGAGGAAATCCTGTCTGGCGGTCAACATAAAGGCGCCATTCGCTCCGGCACCGCCGGCCGCACCCTTGATCCCGAGGAGACGTTCGCGCTTGTTCTGCTCGATGAGAGAGAAGCAGTAGGCGACGTTCTGTTGCTGGGAGATCCGGGCAAAGATCAACACCACGGTTTCGTTACAGTACTTGAGAGGGTTAAACTTGGTGACGATAATCCGCTGGAAGAAGCGGTCAATCGAGCACTCCCAATCGGAATCGTCGGAGGCCAACTTGTCGTCCTTATGCAAAAGCTGGTGCTTGAAACAGAAAATGTATAGTAAGCACTGAAAGGCGGAGAAAAAGAGCTTAAAGCGCTCCATGCCACCTCTACCGTCACCGACCTCACTTTCGCGTTCAATCACGTACTTGTTCAACCAGCCGACGAGATAGGACACTACAAACACCACCTGATGGCGCAGGAGCTTCGCCGCGCGCGCGATGAACGACGCGATATACTGCAATGCCTTGATGCGCTGCTCGATAGTTTCGCTCTGGGAGAAAGCAATGTCGATGAGGGTCACTAAAAACGCATCCATCAACTCTGGTTGCTGCTGCGCTGCGTGAAACAAAAGATACTGGATGGAACGCGTGTAATGGGTCGGAAGGACGTGCGACTTGAACAAGGAGACGAGTGTGTTAAAGAGCACCACCCCGTTGCCCTCGTTCAACTCGTGGAGAGAAAACGCCGGGCCGGTGGTTTCAAACAACTTGAACATGACCGCATCCAACTTACTAGACAAGTCGGATATATTGGTGGTCACCTCCGCATTGTACTCTTCGTTCTCCATGTCTTCGTCCTCGGACTCTTCGTCCTCAGACTCGCTCTCGGAGTCAGTATCGGCCTCGTCCCCTGAGTCGTCGATCTCGACGTCATCTAAATCGTCATCTAGTTCGTCCAACTCGTTCTGAAGGGCGACGTCCAACTTGATGAGGTTCTCCATGATCAAGCACCAGCTGCTGTAGACCAAGTCGCTGCAGTAGCCGCCCATCGCAAGGATGTTGTGGATATAATTGACGCAGATCTGCTTCTTTGTCGTGGTGATGTGGGGAAAGTTCTTCGCCAATAGCGGCTGCAATACCGTCGTTGCGGTCGGCGTGCTATGCAAGAGAAACTGCAACACCTCGTGGTGCGCCTGGGTGTTGGACGAGATGAACTCGCCGATCAACTTGTCGGCAACCTCTGTCCACCACTTCGGGATCCCCGAGCACAACACCGTGAGAAACTGCGTGTACCGCTGTTGAAATGCCGGCTGCTCCTTCACCTGGTAGAGTCGCATTCCGAGGACCGCCTTGATGAGATCAGTGCATCGTTCATTGTCCAAGAGTGTGATGTGGTTTGTCAAAGTGGCGATGATTATCGCTTGGTCATCAAGGGCGATGTATTCTGGGTGGGTTACAGGGAGGTTCAACTGAGACGCAAGCGTTCTTAGGTCTGTGGCGTCGTTCTAGAGAGGTTAGTAATGTTCGGTAAAGAGGGCGCTATTCTCGTGTATGTGTGCTAGTTATATCTGTGCTATATATCGGTTGTATCCAGGTCCAGGGTCGCGCAACTATAGACTGACAATAGCGTTTTGCATAGTCCTAGCTCCAGCTAAACCTTTAGCAGTTGCTTGGCCTTACCATTAGTTTGACCTGGCTTTGAGCCTTTGCTTGGCTTCGTCTCAGCTCACACATCGCAAGAATAACGCCAAGCCACTTTGATCATCCAAAAGAAATAATAAGGGAGGCAAAAAAGGATGCATCAAGGGCTGTAAACGAAACACATACATTCTGATCCATGGCCTCGAGTGCCGACTTGACAAAAGTAGTATACATCTTCCCACTGAACACATCCTGGTTCTTTTCCAACTTAATATTATTATTGCTACTGTTATCACCGTCAGCGTCTTGGTCTGTTATCTTTCTTCTCTTTGTTGGCATCGCGTCAAAGGACACTGCCTTCTCGTCCGCGACGGGGCGCTTGAGTTCGTGCCGCATCCCGAGGGTCTGCGTGTGCTGTTGGTCGACGGAAAGCATTCTGGGTGCCCGGATATGCAACTGTGTGGTTAAAGATGCAATGGTAGAACTTAAGGTGTCCTGAGAAGTGGTTCACCCCTGAAGATTTAAAGAATTTTTTCCTGCAGTGTTTGGGTGTCTTGTGAAATTTTTTAGCAGGAAAAAGAAACAAAATTATCGCGATCACCCGATCGGGAAACATGCGGTGGGGAATCGCGTGCTGACGCCACAGTGCTGAAAAGATTACTGTGGAATACAAGGTGACAGAATGGATGAAAACATGGATATAACTTAATAAAGGTATGCTAAATAGTATTATGCGATATTAATACCGTTTTTTGGTTGTCGCGAAAAAGAGGTGTGGTGACCTTAGTATCGGGTTACACATACAAGCTGATGAAGGCATACTTAGGTACCACGAGTGCCAGAGGCTCCCATGGCGGGAACCATCCTACACTGAGAATTCCAGCAGTATTTTTTTTTTCATAAACTATAACTCTGAAATATTACCTCATGATTCCTCCTGATTTCCTAGTTGATTGTAGACTTACACCGAAATACTATGCCACTTGTTACACCGCCACATCACGTGCACCTCATCGCACCGGGTAACGTGTTGGATAATTTTTATACACATAAGCATGCGGCTCGGAAAAAAAAAGATTGAAAATTTCTGGAAAAGTGTAAGCAAATTTCAACGGGTATAGCATTACGTTAAGTGAACAGCTTTTGCCTAGCCCTTCCCCTCTCACACACCATGTCTGACGAAATCATCTGGCAAGTCATCAACCAGCAGTTCTGTGCCTTCAAGTTGAAGACCACCAAAGAGCAGAATTTCTGTCGTAACGAATATAACGTCAGTGGTTTGTGCTCCAGACAGTCCTGTCCGTTGGCCAACGCCAAATACGCCACAGTCAAGAATGTTGACGGGAAACTATACTTGTATATGAAGACGGTTGAAAGAGCCCACACACCATCCAAGTTATGGGAGAGAATCAAGTTGTCCAAAAACTACACCAAGGCCTTGGACCAAGTTGACCAGCATTTGTTATACTGGAAGAAGTTCTTGATCCACAAGTGCAAGCAGAGATTAACCAGATTGACACAGGTCGCGATCACTGAGAGAAGATTAGCTCTTAGAGAGGAGGAGAGGCACTACGTCGGTGTCAAGCACAAGGTCAAGAGAAGAGAGGAGACGAGAGAGAGAAAGGCCCTCACCGCTGCCAAGATCGAGAAGTCGATCGAGAAGGAATTGTTAGACAGATTGAAGAGTGGTGCCTACGGTGACAAGCCATTGAACGTGGATGAAAAGATCTGGAAGAAGGTCTTGGGGACCGTGGAAGACGAAGACGACTTGTCCCAGGACGAATTGAACGAAGACGAGTATGATGACGTTGAGTTGCAGGATGAAGAGGATGACAGTGACGTTGGTGAGGTTGAATACGTGGAGGACGACATGGAAGATGATGAGGATCTTGTTGACGTGGAAGACTTGGAGAGATGGTTGGGCAACTCCGACTCCGAGTCTGACGATGAGTCAGACTCGGACGATGGCTCTAAGAAGAGAACTAAGAAGCTAGCCGCCTCTGACGACAAGCGTGCAAAGAGACGTGCCAGAGTTGAAGTTGAATACGAAGAGGAGCCTATCGTTGCCAACACTATCAATGCTTGAGGCGCCTCTCCAACTGTATTTATAAAAGAGATCCAGAGTACCAGCTTCCCTTATCCACACCAATGAGGCATACCTCTTCTGCATGGCTGGTACTTTCCGCTTTCTCGCCTCCATCTCCGTTCTTAGATTTCAGCGTCATCTATCTTTAGTAGGCGTTGTGGTCTATGCAAGACCAGGCTCTCAACCTGAAGCCAGTGTTCCTGCTCTGTATATTATTGTTAACACAGCCTCCCAATTTATTCTCACTTTAATTATGTCAGTTTCATCTGTATTTTTGGTCATGGAGAGTTTTATGTATCTATTGCGGATTGACCAACGTGCTTTGGTACGCTGGTCGAGCCCAAGTTCCTTCTCCATATTGCTTTTCGACTTGGCACTTTCTTCTGCTATTTGTTCCGTACGAATTATCTTGCGTGAGACCCATAGATGCGTTGGTGCTATGGTAGCATAAAGTTAATATATGATCCGAGCCCCGTGCCGTCGAGACCTAAGACAGCTGATACAAGTCAATGAGCATATTGATAGTGCTAGCTCAATGGAAAAGTAAGATTTTACCGAAATCCGAGACGGGGTGTAGATACTCCCTTTTACCAGACTTTTAACGTGCTTCTGTAGCCACCGCGCTGGGGGGAACGCTACTCTGGCGTTCTCTGCGCACCGATCTTGTAACGGCCAAAAGCATATCAAGACAAGTAAGTCCAGACCTATAAATCATTAACATAGAAATATATTCAACAAGGATAAACAAAAGGCGGTTTCAAAACACAACCGTGCATCAACGAATGAACCCCTACAACTTGGCACTACCGTTGCCCAAAATCTTGACAGCAGCGTTGTTGATGACAATAACATTACGTTCAACAACAGTGGTTCTGAAGATAACAACGTCCTTGCCCTCCTTCCAGGCCTCGACCTTCAAGGTCTCACCTGGGTAGACGACACTGGTGAATCTCAACTTGGCTTCCTCAAAGTTACCAAACTTGTCCACAAGAGCCTTGGCAGAAACACCGAAGGAGCACAAGCCGTGCAAGATTGGCTTATCGAAGTTACCACCCTTAGCAAAGCCTGGGTCAATGTGCAATGGGTTGTAGTCACCAGACAAACGGTAGAGGGCAGCCTGGTTGTCGGAGGTCTTCTTCTCGACAACGTAGTCCGGCGCTCTCTTTGGAGCGTCGAAAGAGGTGGTAGCAAAGGCAGGTCTTGGAGAGTAGACCTTGCTTTCACCCTGAGCATCACGAATGAAAGTGGTCATCTCGTTGTAGAAAACAGGGTTGCCAGTAGCCTTGTCGATGGTGTCAAAGCCACCAACACAAACTACGTTCTTGCCCTTCTGAGTGATCTGGACAGGGTGGGCGGTGGTGGTCAACTTGGCATCGGTAGGAATAGGCCACTGCTTAATCTTTAAGTACTGTTCACCGTGCAACAACTTCATTGGGTTGAAGTTCTTCAAGTAGCTATCCAAGTCGTACCCGTCGTCACACTGCACCATGGCTGGGATGACACCGATAGATGGGATGGCCTGGAAGTCCTTACTGCCCTCAAACACGTACTTCAACTCGTCGTACTGGGCACCAATCCCCAAGTTGTAAAGCATAATGTTACGTGGAGAAAGCTCGTAGAACTCGTTGGCACTCTCCTCATCCTCTTCATCCTCCTCGTCCTCGTCATCCTCATCACCCCCAAGGGAGGCCATAATCGCCATGGAAGATTCGGCTGGAGACTTAATGGCGACAGCGCCGGAGGAGAAGTCCTGGGCCTCCGCGAAGTGAGCAGCCACCCAGTCGATGTCGAACGGAGACTTGTCGGAGGCAAGGTGCACAACACCCTTGGCTCTCTGGAAACGGGTGTTACCGACCCAGGCGGCACCAACTTCGAAGGTTTCACCGGTGACTGGAACTTGGTCAGAAGCCAACAAGACCACCATTGGAGAGACGTGAGAAGGTGGGAACTTGTTCAACTCGCCTTCACCGAAGATAGTCAAAGTCATGGCGGTTTCGGCGTGTGGGGCAATGGTGTTGACCAAAATGTTGTTCTTCTTACCCTCGACAGCTAAGGTCTTGGAGAAGGAAACGATACCACACTTAGCAGCGGCATAGTTAGCCTGGCCGAAAGAGCCGTAGATACCAGAAGTGGAAGTGGTGTTGATGATTCTACCAAACTTCTGCTGGACAAACACCGGCCAGACCAACTTACACAAGTTGAAGGTACCGATAATATGAACGTTAATGACCAGGTCCCAGTCGGCATCGGTCATCTTCAAGAACGACTTGTCTCTCAAGATACCGGCGTTGTTGACAAGAACGTCAATACGTCCGTAGGTGTCCAAGACGTGCTTGACGATCTCTGGGGCTTGCGTAACGACATCGTGCTTGTCAGCCAACGCCTTACCACCCTTGGCAATAATTTCGGCAACAACAGAGTGTGGGTCCTTGAAATCGTTGACAACGACGGTGGCACCGTAACGGGCGAACCACAAAGCGTGAGAACGGCCCAAACCCGCACCGGCGCCAGTGATAAGCACAACCTTGCCAGTGAGATCAATCTTGGTGTTACCCTGTGGGTTTGGCTTGGTGACCTTCTTGGACTCCTCCAAAATGGAAAGGTAGTCGGAGACCTGAGTTGGATAGGAGGTCTTGACATTGAATGGCTTTTCACCAAAGTCCATGATGGAGTCAAACTGGTTAAGAATGGCCTCTGGGGTGAAGGTTTCCTCGTCACCGCGGAATATCTGCCCGGAGGATCTCTGCCACTTGACCTGGCCAAAGAAGCCACCAGCAACCTCAAAGATAGCACCAGAAGTCTGGTTATCGGCGTGGGCCAAGTACTGGACCAACGGAGAAACCTTCTCAGGCAAGATCTTCTCCAACACATCTGGAGGCAAGAGATCTTCGGTCATTCTGGACTTGGCAAGCGGAGCGATGACGTTGGCACGAATGTTGTACTTGGCACCTTCCTTCGCCAAAGTCTCAGCAAACCCGACAAGAGCAAGCTTGGCGGTGGCGTAGTTGGCCTGGCCGAAGTTACCGTACAACCCGGCTGGGGAGGCGGTGTTGACAATTCTCCCATACTTCTGGTCACGGAAGTACGGCCACGCGGCCTTGGTGACCTTGTAGGCACCGTTCAAGTGGACATCCAACACGAGCTTAAAGTCCTTCTCTGGCATGTTCTTGAAGGCAGAGTCTCTCAAGATCCCCGCGTTGTTGATGATGACGTGGACGGTACCGAAGGCCTCGACGGCGGTTTTGACAATGTTGGCGCCATCCAAGACGTTGTCGTAGTTGGCGACGGCTTGGCCACCGGCGGCCTTGATTTCGGCAACGACGATGTCGGCGTTCTTTGAGGAGGCACCATCACCCTTGAGACTACCACCCAAGTCGTTAACGACAACCTTGGCACCTCTGGCGGCAAAGTCCAACGCGTAGACCTTGCCCAAACCGGAGCCAGCTCCGGTAACAATGACAACCTTGTCCTTGAAATCTAATGGCATTTTGTGTGTAGTATGTATGAGAAAAGACGGGAGGGGGTCTGTGTCTTGAATCAATAGGTGGGGAGAGCAGAAATGTGGGGGGTGGAGAAGTAGGGGGCCGGCGAGTACTTATATATTACCTGGGCGGCTTTGGGTTGCGAAAAGGCTCCCGGTGCAGACGCTGGAACTTAAAGCTGCCATGTGACCGAGCCGAGGACCTGCATGCAACTGGCCTGTGGAGAGAGCCTAGCTGAAATTAGACAGGATTTTCCCACCTAAGCAGTGGGCAGCAGCTGCTGCCGATGAGGTAAATAGCGGGGTTGATGCATAACCTCCCGGAGCTCATGGAGAACTCTCGTTGTACAAATAATGCAAATATCTGCTATAGCTTAAACAATAATCTCCGCGTTTGATGTGTATCGGGTCCTGCAAGGACAGCGTAGAGGTTTTCGTTTTTTTTTTTTTTTTTTTTTTCACTGATCCACCCCACACAACGCTCAATGGGCACGTAGACGCAGTACCGGAATTGGGGAAGCGCAATGCCGAAGCCCGGACATGCGGTGCAGGCTGGCCACATAACTCAAGTCTGGGGAGGGGGGCTCTAATTACGTACAGCAAAGGTGAGCACACCCGATTTCTGCTACATACACATAGAACGTTGCACATGGTAAAATGGCATTTTTACCACTAGCCCGCTGAGGTGAGACCCTGTCACACCAGTCATAAAGGCGGATAATCATATATATTCACTAGGCTCGCACATCTGTGATGTTGCCACGAAAATTGGTAATTCGCATCCTGAACCTTAAGTCCCCATATTCTTCACTATGTACCGTCATATCGGCAATCGGTAATTCGCTCAGTACGCGCTAATAATGGATTTCGGAACGCCCACGTTGATAGCCGAATGGCAAAGGAAGGATCGCGAACCCCATGATATGGCCGAGGTGTACTTACTTCCGTTCCGCCTTCTGCCGCTCGTGTCACGAGATCTTGGGCAGCTGACCTCCGGAAATTGCGGAGTCGACCACGTGACTAGACAACGATTCTGAAATTATCCAAGGCGCTTGGTGAAAAATCCCATGTGCTACTTTTCGAAAGCATCCCCGGCACGGAAGAGTGACAGTGCATCACGTAGAGAAGATGTAAAGGCCTTATATTTACCGGTCTGGCTCATGAGAACACAGGGGCTCTAGTATATTAGACTACCGCTGATCTCCGTGACGTGTAAAATTTGTATTCTATGCCTGGACCTATATTGCACCGGCATCAAGCGTTAGTGTACTTTGCTGTAAAAAATCTTGGATCCCCGTAAGCTTGTGTCAAAACGGCAAACGGGACCCGGATTTGTAACGAGAGATCATAGTGAAAAACTTAGTTCTAAAATTTATATGCAATTACTAGCTCTAGCTCCCAAGCAAAACTGCTTTACACGTGTAATCATAAAAAGTCGCATAGAAATGAAGATAGCAAAGTTTTAGGACTAACCGCACATCGGCAATATAAATAAAGCTAACAAACTTATTCCTCGTCCTCACCGCTCAAAATTCTCAAAACCTGCTCGGAGCGTTCGTTTCTCTCTCTGACATTGAGATCCTGTCTGTTCAACATCTTC